CCACACACACATTTTATACAATTAATCTGTAAAGCATAAGAAATTGTATGGAAATTAATATACGATTTGCTTTGCATGTTTAACAGTTTCTAAGCGATTTTAGAATGATCTTTGTAATTAAATTTTTTGTATATCTGAGAACTTGCTACATTCCACCCAGTGGTTCTGGATTTCATATATTCTTTCTGGAGATGTGGTGCAAAATTCACCAGGAAGGGGGAAATTATATTTAGGTCCACTCACTAACAGGTCAGCTCTGTTCTATTTCTAAGGTATGGCCTACCCACGTTTAGGCTATTAGTCTGGACATCACTTTTTCCAGATGACATTAACCTTTTTGCACAGGTCATCTCCTTGCTTTTTCTAAAAAATGATTGACATTCAGAAATGTATATATGTTACCTGAATAGATAATTCGGTTGAAAAAGGGCACCAGAATTGGGGATGTGATATTTTCAGCAGAAGAAAAACTTCAAATAACAAGTCTGTGGATTTTGCTTTATATGTCATGTTATTCTCTGACACATCAGACCGCTTAAAAAGCCAAGCATCTAATGCATGCATAAAAATCTTTGGTGTAGAAGAAATTCCCACCTGTCTCTAAATTAACATTTAAAGTACTGCAGCAAAAAGCAACAATTGAAAACCATTTTTATTTTATTTTTTGTTAAAACAAAAATAAATACATTTTAAAAAGCCTTTATATTTAAAGGGACACTATAGTTACCAGAACAACTACAGCTTATTGAATTTGTTCTGGTGAGTAGAATCATTACCTTCAGGCTTTTTGCTGTAAATACTGTCTTTTCAGAGAAAATGCAGTGTTTACATTACAGCCTAGTGATAACTTCACTGGCCACTCCTTAGATAGCTGTTAGAGATCATTCCTGGGTCATGGCTGCCTAAAATGCATCCAAACATTCAGTGTCTCCTCCCTCTGCATGCAGACACTGAACTTTCCTCATAGAGATTCATTGATTCAATTCATCTCTATGAGGAGATGCTGATTGGCCAGGACTGTGTTTGAATCATGCTGGCTCTGCCCCTGATCTGCCTCTTTGTCAGCCTCAGCCAATCCTATGGGGAAGCATTGTAATTGGATCAGGCCACCACTTCTGATGATGTCAGCAGACTGCTTGTTTTTTTTTTAGGCAAACATCATGCATATCTACAGCTTCAGGCTTGAATACAGTAAGATTTTGCTAGATTTATGGAAGCATGAGGGGCCCAGGGGGGCTAGATGGTGGTTTTAACACTATAGAGTCAGGAATACATGTTTGTGTTCCTGACCCTATAGTGATCCTTTAACTTTAGTCCAGATCTGGGAAAGTCTGCTTGCAGCGAATACTTCTCCCAGTACTGATGATCTCTGCTCCATTGCGGACAAACTGCGAGTGAACAGGAGCTGCCACCGTCAACCAGTCTGACGTATTAGCAACGTTCAGTGCCATCATGTTGTGCATGATGATGCCAAATGTGAAGACATTTGAATATTGAAGGTCTTTTGGGAGGAAGTGTTTCTAGTGGTTGTCTTAGACAAATCTAAATGCTGACATTTCTCGGGAAATAGCATTGTTATACACTGTCTTAGTAAAGAGACAGTGTCTATGGACCAAAAGCTCTACATTAAAACGTAGTGGTTTGGATACTTCAAATGTCCTTGAAATATAAAATTATTTTATGAAGTTTTTTTTTAAATTTAAATATTATCATTGATCTTCCCACTTTAAATTACAAGGGATACGAGTACAACAGAAATAGTCAGGTGGGCTATTAATACCGTAGGCAAGTGGTCTGTGGACACCTGACTGTTGGGTTTAGGAAGTTTGAACAATGGGGCTACCCTATCCTGCCCATTAATTTGGAGTTGATTGTCAAAGTATTTAGTGAGTTGGGAAAACCCCTGACCCTTGTGTATAAGCACCAGAGGTTTTCCAGGACCAGGAAATATACAGGCCAAAGAAGTTGAAGATCCCTACAAAATTCATATTCATTATATTTGTATCTCACAGCACAATCTCTTCACTATTGCTATTACACACTATGTTTTAAAATCTTTATCATATGTGTATAAATTGTGCAGAAAATTACGGAGTGCACAAACTTCAAAATATTTTAAACACAAGCTAAATTACCTTGTTTAAAATGTATCTTAAACTGTTTTTAAAAATTTGTGTCATATATGTATTCACCCCTTAAGGACGCAGCTTCAAAAACTGGACTTACCCTCAAGGAAACAAGCCTTTTTTGCGGTTTGTGTTCAAACACAATTTGCATCTCTGTCATTTATTGCACCAACACATATTATATGCTGTTTTTAGAGGGCAAAAAGGGCTTTAATTTGATGTCACATATACATAGATAAATTCTCATTAATTATAAAACAAATGGGAAAAAGACACATTTTTTTTCCAGTTTTGGCAATAATAGCGTCTGCATAATATGTCCAGCTTAGAAAAAGTAATTCATAATAAATTCATTTATGTCATGATTTATAGAGTACATAATATGTATAGGATTTCAGTTTATTTTGAAAGTTACAGGTCACAATAAAAGGACTAAAATAAAACTTCAATGTGAAACAATTTTAGAATTTGGTATATTTGTCTTGTAGGTTTAGTAGCCATCACAGAAAACAAAATTGCCACACAAAAGTATATATTTATATAAAGTAGACATCACCGGCTATTTACCTAAGGTTAGTTTGACACTTTTTACGTAGCCATTTCACCGCCAATCTGTGCTAAATATTCGAGTAAAATTGTTGGGTTTTTTTTCCCTCTATTATGGCATATATACTTATACCAAGGTTTTTGTTGTATTTCGTAAAGCAGGTGTGTGCTATTTCTGCACAGAACCCCATATTGTTTTTAGCTACGTCTGCTGATTATAACGATACCTCCATTGTATGCCATTTGGCACTATTATGTGAAGCAACAATGCCATATAAGAGAGAAGGCTATTTCAGTTTCTATAGTTAGAATTTTCATAGATGGATATGATGGGCCTATGTAGTAGTTTTGCTGGTGTTCTGTCTAAGTGACAGGACTTTCGGGAATACTGACAGGAAGCATCGCGAGATGACGGATCAAAGGTGAGAATTGTGGGAAAATTGCTCTGACCACTGGAAATGAAGCACACTTTGCTCCTCCACTGGTCATAGCTGTTTAGTTGTAGGAAACCTCCATAAGACAAAGGAGTCCCTACTTTGTCTTATGTTTTAAAGAAAACTAGAGCAGACAGGATGAAATGAAGAACAGATCCTGACAGAGGGAGAAATGAGGAATCGATTTAAGAATGGTAAGTTCGGCATGCCGCTTTAATGTATTCTTTTACTTTTTTTAACTATACATTTTAAACCTTATTTGAAAACTTTTTTTTATTTATTGCTTTTTTTTTTACTTTTAAACTTTCTTAAAACTTTTTACATTTTTAAAATTTGTATAAACTTTCTTTTACTGTTAACCCCTAACTAGCAGTAAGCAGCACTTACAGTAAATTCCCCAATTTCCTATAACTCCCACGTACCCCAGCTAGCAAAATATTTAATTTAATGAAATAAATTGAACCCAAGAGGGTTAAAAAATAAGTTAATCTTCAGGGGTAAAAAAAAAAAAAAAAATCAGATCACAGTAAAATACTGTGATCTGTATTTTACTCACTGTAGGCAGTGATCGACTGGCAGGTAAGGGGTTAATTTTTTATTAGGACTGGGTAAAGGGGGGTGGGATTTTTTTTTATTTTAATAAAAAACTTTTTTTACGTTAACCCTTAGCTAGCCTGACACCAAATTCCCCACTAACTTTCACCCACCCCAGCTAGCTAAATTTATAGTTTTAAAATATTTTCATTAATGAAATAAATTTAACCCCAATTGGCAGGAAGGGGGTTAATTTTTATTTAAAATCGGTGGGGGTGGGATTTTAAAGTAACTTTTTTTTTATTTTTTATTTTTTACACACAGGGAGAAGATCAATGCTGATCAGTCTCCCTGCACTTCACACTGAACGCGGAAGCACAGAGAGGCGGATCAGAAGTCCCTGCAGCACAGTTGCTCACTCTGACAGCCTGTCAGAGTGATCACAGCTGCAGGGACAAAGCGATCGGGAGCTTCTGGTCTGCCTCGAATACCAAAACAACTCAATGAAGCAGTTTTAGTGTATAGATCATGCCTCTGAAATATACCTGCTTAATTACCTGCCATTTAGGACTTAACCCTTAAGGATGGCGGGTGTTCTATGCCATCCTTAAGGGGCTGGCTCTAAACGCCGGTGGGGGGCATAGAACGTTCTTGCCGCCCAAGTGGCCGCTGCCATTCACCCACTGCAGATTGCAGCATGTGATCGCAGTGACAGCCAATGAATTGTAACATTGGCTGACACATTCCCTCAACCACTCTCCTTAACCTCACTTTGATCTGAAGGAAAGAGGCGTAGAGATCAGAGACAGTTACAGTTTGCAAAACTGTAAAACTTGTTAAAAATTTAATTTAACTTTCAGTTTAATCGAGCTGATCAGCCAATTAGGGCTTTTAGTACTTTTGTACTTGTGTGTATATATATATATATATATAAAAAGATTTTGGGCCCTTTTTTGACCCTTTGTGTCAGTTGCAGCAACCCAAATCTCCCTTAACTCGCTGCTGCTGTGATCACTGTACTGTACAGTATATCTGCTGCACTGTATCAGTGATCACTGTGATCAGAGGACACTCTGATCAGGCTGACCTTTTTTTTGTGTTATTTTTAATAAAAAGTAAATAACCCTTTCAGAACTGATCGCAGCTGACTAAACTGTGATCAGTACATTTATTTTATTTGTTGGGGGTTTTTAAGGGTGAGTAGTGGATGTTAGGCAGGTAGGAATTTAGTAATTACCCCCTTAGTTTTTATTAGATAATTTATTTGTCCCCCTAGAATGGCATGTCACCATTCTGGCAGGCAGTGATAGTGACACTCTGCATTGAGCCCCACCACCTACAAGAAGACACTCAGAATGCCCAATGCCAGACGGAGACTGGGTGCCTCCAAACATGATGGCCCCAGAAATATTGCAGTTCACTGTTACACCTGGCATCACTGTAACAGTGTACGACTGCAAGCCCATTAGTTTTTTTGAGCTCTTTATGTCAGACGATATATTTTGAGCTCATGGCTCAGCAAATGAATTTGTTTGCCATGCAGTATCTCTCTGCACATCTGGGGTCCCATTTTAGTCGAAGGAATATGTGGCGACCCACGGATGTTGCAGAGATGAAGCGGTTTGGGGCTTTAACCCTAGTGATGGGTATAGTTAAAAAGCAGAGTATCAGGTCCTACTGGAGCAAGCAATGCATCCTGGCTACCCCTTTTTTCACTGAGGTTATGTAGAGGGATCGCTACCTGCAACTGCTGCAATTCCTTCATTTTAATGATAACTCACTGTGTCCCCCTAGAAACGACCCACTGTTTGACAGGCTTTATAAAATTCGGCCTTTTATTCAACTCCTGTCAGAAAATTATGCCCCCTGAAAAAAATATTTCAATTGACGAATCCCTAATGAAATTCAAAGGTCGACTACTCTTTAAACAATATATACCATCTAAGCGGTCTCGATATGGTGTTAAATTTGATAAATTATGCAAATCCTTTACTGGTTACACATGGGCGTTTTGCATTTACCAGGGGAAGAATAGCCATCTTGACCCACCACAAGTGGCAAGATTGTTTGGGATCTAATCCTTCCCTTGTTAAATAAGGGATACAGGCTACGGGTTGACAACTACTATACCAGTAGAGCATTATTTAAAAATGTATATTACTTTGAAACCCTAGCCTGTGGCACAGTGAGGAAGAATCGCAGGGGTTTCCTCCAAACCCTGGAAAGAGGCAGAAGCAGTAGAGATTTCTCTCCAGCTCTCTGCCAGGATGAGTTGCTTGCCCTTCGCTTCACAGATAGGAAGGATGTATACATGCTGTCTACAATGCACAACGAAAGTACAGTGCCAGTGTCTGTGAAAGGTAGCACTGAGCATCTGAAAAAGCAGAAGTGCATTGTAGAGCAAGTTTATGGGGGTAGTAGACTTGGCTGACCAATGCAAGCCCTACCTGGTGAACCAAAAAACTAGGACCTGGTACAAGAAAATTGCAATCTACGTGAGCCAGATTGCAGTTTTCAATGTCTTTGTCCTCTGTAAAAAAGAGGTCATAGGTAAGCCCTGTCCTTTCCTAGAATTCATTCTAAGCCCTTTATCCCATATCCCACTTTGGAATCAGGAGATCTCCAAAGACTTTGTGGCAAACACTTCCCTTCCCGAATCCCCCCCCACCACTCGTAAAAAAGCTCCCCAAAGAAAGTGTCATGTTTGCTACAAGAAAGGAGTCCAAAAGGACTCCAGTTATTATTGCCCAACCTGCCCATCTCTACCTGCCCTCTGCATAACAGACTGTTTCAAAGTCTACCATACAGCTGAACTTGAATTAAATCACTCTGTATGGTGCTTCGGCAGTTTGTTTGCTTAAATTCCATGGATTTCTGACCTCTGCTTGTCCTGACTAAGCCTGTACAGACCTATTGGCTTGTTTTACCGACTGCTCTGACTTCTGGATTCCCCTGACCTTGGCCTGTCCCGATTTACGCTAGCCATTCTAAAGTGGCTACACCAAACAACTCAAAGTACTACATTTGTAGTACTTGAAATGTGACTTCCCAAAAAACCCTCTAATTACAAAGTTAATGCTGTGATTAGTAAAAACAAAAAGAACGTTACCTGCGGTCTGGCCTAAACCCCTATGTACATTTAAACAAAATGGAGGCTTTTCTTGTTTTTGCTATGTATTTTGAGCTGTTGGATACTAAGCTACTGCTGCTGTAAGCACAGTGCTTTATCTTTGTGTTTCTATATGATATTTGTATCACACAGCTATGTTACATTGCTGCCAGCCACCCCATGTTTGTCTTAACAGTTTATAATTATGTAGGGACCGCACCCCTTCCTGTCTCATCAGAGAAATTTGCCTTTTAGCTGATACCAGCAAGGTGATTTGTATGTGTTACATCCCTATTTAGGGTTAAGTATGTAGGGGTTTATAAAACACCCCTTCATGTCTCATTAGAGATGTTTACACTTTGTCTGATACCAGCAAAGTTTATTGTATGTGTAGAAGCCTTATAAAGGGTTAAATGCACATAACTATACGTCTTGGCTTTGTTCAGAATTAAAAATGAAGGGATTGTAGATACTGTATCCCGTGCTCCAACTGCTAATGACGTTGCAAGTGCAACTGGTACTCTATTGAAGATGTGCTCTTATGAATACAGTACCATTACAATATTGCTATAATGATGCTTACATAATGTAATATTTAATTACGGGAGGGTGCAATTACGGTATTTATATCCATAAGACAGACATTTTTTAACATCACCTGATTAATATACTACAAAACACAAGAATTTCTCAGCAAGTTTATATTTACTTTATATGCGTATTATTCAAAGAATAAGTCATTAAGCGTAACATTAAGCAGCACAATATACTACACCACTTTGTTGAAAAATTTAAATATAATTATTTTTTATTTTTATAAAATCTAAGCTTATATGTTACACAATGAGCCAAGTAATTCGCTTGTACTCGAACACATTCCTGGCTGTGATCTTCGCCTCGCACACTTATTTAGAAACCAGATGCTAAATGTGGAAACTGTGGACAACAAAAAGAGTGCAATAAAATAATTATAAATCATAAATCAATTAATCATTTTACATACATTTTAAACTAGCATAAACAAAGTTTGTTAAATACATTTATATGCATTATTATTATTATCATTATTAGTATTATATACTTCTCTGTGGGTTTTGAGCAATGTTTTATTCATGTTGTCAGAGTAATGACCAGATTGCTTCCTGTGATGTCACTACTTACCCAAATATGTCAGAATAGTTATAATTTGGGGTCTGAGTTTTGTCCCCCTGGTATTTTGGGTTGTATGTTAGATGTATGTAAAAATTAAATGTCTAAATTAGCTATACAACAAACCACAAACCTGACTAAAGTATTTCTGGTTTATTGCTGTATTCAAGAGATGAAACAGAATAGAAATGTGTTTTTACTGATCTATGGTAAATCAGCAACCCGAAAAGACTGAAAACACCATGTGAATTAGGCCAAACTGTCTTCATGTATAACTGTTTTAATTTAGTGTCTTCTGTTAAATTTGTCCCAGCATACCACATTTTGCAAATGTTATCATTAAAATTGTAATCCCCTCCTTGTATTATATTATACTACTAAAAGTTATTTGGCGTCATGGAAATACAACATATTTAATAAAGAAATTGAAAAAAAATACATTGATGTTTTTTAACCCATTAAGGACACAACTTCTGGAATAAAAGGGAATCATGACGGAATATGTCTGTCATGTGTCCTTAAGGGGTTAAGGCATCCTAATTTTTAGCTGCATTATTTGTGTAGACAAAAAAACAAGAAAACTCACTCATACCCCAGAGAGCAAAAGATGAAGAGTCCTTAATTAAATTAAAGGAACACCATAGTCACCTATAGTCTAGGGCAGGCATAGGCAACCTTCGGCACTCCAGATGTTTTGAACTACACCTCCTATGATGCTTTGCCAGCATTAGAGGGGTAAGAGCATTATGGGGCATGTAGTCCACAACATCTGGAGTGCTGAAGGTTGCCTATGCCTGGTCTAGGGTTTCACTGCCCAATTCACTGCCATTTAGGAGTTAAATAACTTTGTTTCTGTTTATGCAGCCCTAGCCACACCTCCCCTGGCTATGATTGACAGAGCCTGCATGAAAAATAACAACTGGTTTCACTTTCAATAAGATGTAATTTACCTTAACCCCTTAAGGACACAACTTCTGGAATAAAAGGGAATCATGACGGAATATTTCCGTCATGTGTCCTAAAGGGGTTAAACAATTGTATCTATTTCTCTGTAAATTGAATTTTAATCACATACAGGAGACTCTTGCAGGGTCTTGTAATCTATTAACATAGCAGGAGATAATAAAATCTAAATTAAACAGAACTTGCAATAAAGGAAGGATAAACTTTAGATTAAGTGTTTAGGAAAACATGCAGTGAGGTTTAACTAGGGTGGTATAAACAAAGTGTCTTCATGTATAACTGTTTTAATTTAGTGTCTTCTGTTAAATTTGTCCCAGCATACCACATTTTGCAAATGTTATCATTAAAATTGTAATCCCCTCCTTGTATTATATTATACTACTAAAAGTTATTTGGCGTCATGGAAATACAACATATTTAATAAAGAAATTGAAAAAAAATACATTGATGTTTTTTAACCCATTAAGGACACAACTTCTGGAATAAAAGGGAATCATGACGGAATATGTCTGTCATGTGTCCTTAAGGGGTTAAGGCATCCTAATTTTTAGCTGCATTATTTGTGTAGACAAAAAAACAAGAAAACTCACTCATACCCCAGAGAGCAAAAGATGAAGAGTCCTTAATTAAATTAAAGGAACACCATAGTCACCTATAGTCTAGGGCAGGCATAGGCAACCTTCGGCACTCCAGATGTTTTGAACTACACCTCCTATGATGCTTTGCCAGCATTAGAGGGGTAAGAGCATTATGGGGCATGTAGTCCACAACATCTGGAGTGCTGAAGGTTGCCTATGCCTGGTCTAGGGTTTCACTGCCCAATTCACTGCCATTTAGGAGTTAAATAACTTTGTTTCTGTTTATGCAGCCCTAGCCACACCTCCCCTGGCTATGATTGACAGAGCCTGCATGAAAAATAACAACTGGTTTCACTTTCAATAAGATGTAATTTACCTTAACCCCTTAAGGACACAACTTCTGGAATAAAAGGGAATCATGACAGAATATTTCCGTCATGTGTCCTAAAGGGGTTAAACAATTGTATCTATTTCTCTGTAAATTGAATTTTAATCACATACAGGAGACTCTTGCAGGGTCTTGTAATCTATTAACATAGCAGGAGATAATAAAATTTAAATTAAACAGAACTTGCAATAAAGGAAGGATAAACTTTAGATTAAGTGTTTAGGAAAGCATGCAGTGAGGTTTAACTAGGGTGGTATAAACAAAGTAATTTAACTCCTAAATGGCAGTGAATTGAGCAGTGAGACTGCAGGGACATGATCTATACACCAAAACTGCTTCATTAAGCTAAAGTTGTTTTGGTGACTGTGTCCCTTTAACATAAAATTTTATTAATTAGTTGACATACATACAAATGGGACAGGGGAAAATCAAAAAGTTCTAAGCTTTAGATGGATAACCGTGACTTGCTTGGAGTAAAGCAAACTTCATATGTATTAAGTTTGTATAACTAACCCCTTAAGGACACAAGCAATTTTTGCAATTTTTGCTGTTTGTGTTCAACCGCAATTTGCATCTCTCTCATTTATTGCACCAACACATATATACCGTGTTTTAGAGGACAAGGACTTTAATTTGATGTCACATATACATATGTGGATGAATAAAAAAAAAACTTTATTTTCACACACTTTGGGCAATAATAACTTGTGCATAACATGTCCAGCTTTGGAAAAGTAATAAATTAAATTGTGTCTTGATTTGTACTGTGCATAATATGTATAGGATTTCAGCTTTTTTGAAAGTTACAGGTCACAAAATACAAGGACTAAATAAAATTTCAATTTTAAACCATTTTAGAAGTTGGGATGTTTGTCTTTTAAATTTAGTAGTCATCACAAAAAACAAAACTGCCACACAAAAGTATATATTTATATAAAGTAGATATCACAGGCTATTTAGTTTGACACTTTTACGTAGCCATTTCATCGCTGATCTCTGCTAAATATTGGAGTTATATTGTATCTTTTTTCTCTATTTTGGCATATACACAAATAGCAAGGTTTTTTTAATGTGTATTTTGCAAAGCTGGTTTGTGCTATTCCTGTACAGAACCCCATATTGTGTTCATTTTTTACATACATGTTGTATTTCTTACACTTGATATGTGCCACTGTCATAAAACCCCCTAAATTATGCTCCGTTACATCTTCAGAGTAAAACAATATGCCCAATGTATAACCTAGACATCATTTTGTGAGGTTACAGTGCTGCAAAAGAGATGTGGCAAGTTCAGGTCTTTAAATGTAAATTTTCATAGATGGTTTTTGTGACGAAAGTGACCTCGCCACTGGAGGGGCCTGTTTGCCCGCCTCCTACCTTCTGACTATGGCCCCTGGGAGAGTTTGCCTTTTATAAACATTGTTTGGGCTTATTGGATTTTGGGACACTTTTTCTGCCCCTTTGAATCCATGGGAAGGTGTGCCTCCCACCCTCCCCCCCCATTGTTCTCCAGCAGGGCGTTGTCCCAGGGACCCTGCCAGACCAGTTGGAACTGGCTGATTTGTCCCTCCTCTGTCAAAAAGGACTTCCAACTAACTTTTTAACCACTGAAGGGAATTGTCTGAATTTTGGATATGTTTATATTTGAACTGTGCTTATTAATAATATGTAACTTCATGGAAATTGGATGTATATTTTAGAAGTTATAAGAATTGTGTAAAAACTGTATTAATCCATTGTGTACAGTAATTATATCACAGGCAGAGGGCAGGGTTTGTTTGTCCTGACTGGGAGTGTTTAACTGTTTTATAGTGTATTTGAATGGCTGTGCTACAAAACCATGTGGGTGGCAACATTGTGTAAAAATGTGTATATAAGAAACAATAAAACCACAGCTCTGTCTGTTCCTGTTTACACTCCAAAACTGTGTGTCGTCCAGTTATTGGAGGGAAGATGATTTGCTCCTGTGTCTGCTGTTCCAGCTTGCAGGAGATTCAACTGGGAAAGTCCTTGTAAGGACTAGAGCTAATTCCCAATGAGGTTCCAGAGTTCCCAGGACCGAGTGTTGTCCAGTGTCTGGAGGTGCCTGCTGGAGTGCTTGGAGCCCTCAGGAAGCGCTAGGAGCATCTTTCAACGGATGTACCCAGTCGGGGTGCAAGGCGGTCCGTTACAGTTTTGATGTTCCATTTTGGAGCACTTCAGCGACATATTACAACTACACCATAAAGGCAAACCATTTCTTAAAGAAGACATCCCAGGGTTTTTCAAAATGCATATTTTGAACCTTGGCATGGGATAATTTTTCTGCTAGCTTGTGCCATGTGTACGTTAAAGGGGCACATTTGAGACACAGCCAATACAGTTTTTTTTCAAACTTTGAATTTTTATGCTGTGTCTATATCCCATTTTGGTGTATTTTAGCAGGCTACATATTTCAACTACCCCATAAAGGCATTCAATTTCTTAAAGAAGACACCCTAGGGTATTTCAAAAGGCATATTTTGAACCTAGGTGTGGGATCATTTTTCCGCTAGCCTGTACCAAGTGTTTTGGTAATAAGCATTTTTCTGCCTTTTTTTTTGACACACACAATGAGTTTGTCCTGTATATTTTGAAAACCATATGTGCGCTACGGCAGTATAATACTTGATATGTTTCTCAGCTATGTCGTCTGAGTACAGCAGTGGCCCCATATGTACCTTTACCAGGTATATGACAAACATTGAAGGGGTACATTTAAGACAGCCATTTAAGTTTGAATTTTTATGCTGGGTCCATGCCCCACTTTGAATTTTTTTTTAGCAGGTTATTTTTTCCAAGTACCACACAAAGACATACCCTTTCTTAAAGAAGACACCCCAGGGTGTTTCAGAAGGCATATTTTGAACCTTAGCGTGATATCAATTTTTCGCTAGCCTTTACCACAGGGGTTCTCAACCCAGTCCTCAGGACCCCCTACCAGTCCAGGATTTGGGGATTACCTGGGTGTGTCTCAGGTGTTTAGAAAAAGGGAAAAAAACACCTTAGACTCTAAGGTGTTTTTTTTCTTTTTCTAAACACCTTAGACACACCCAGGTAATCCCTAAACCCTGGACTGGTAGGGGGTCCTGAGGACTAACGTTGAGAACCCCTGCTTTACCCTTTTTTAAACTTCTTTTTACTTTTAAAAGTTTTCTTTAACTATTTAAAACTTTTTTTTTTAACTGTTAACCCCTAAATAGCCTAACCGTAAATCCTCCAATTTCCCCACTAACCTCTACCCACCCTAGCTAAATAAATACATGTTTTACAAATATTTAATTAAATAAATTTAACCCTGAGGGCTAAAAAAAATAAAAGTTAGCTGGGGTTAAAAAAAAAAAATCAGATCACAGTGAAATACTGTGACCTGTATTTTGATTACTGTAGACAGTGATCAAAGGCCATGAAATGGGTTACATTTTTTGGGGAAAGGGTGAGGGGGGAGGGAGGGATTTACAACTAACTTTTTTTTTCTTGCAGAGAGCAGCAGATCACCACTGATCTGTCTCTCTGCTCTTCACAGCTCACACTGACCTGCAGGGAAACAGATCGGGTTTCACTGCAGCACGTGTAATTGCTGTGAAAGTAAAACTGCTTGCTGTAGTGTGCCTCAGACACAGAGGCACACTACCCAGTGGTGTATCCTGGTTTTGTGCTGCCCTATGCAGGACAAAACTCAATTTATTTAATTAAAAAAATAATTATGGATACTACTGTAAGAGAGGGGAGCAGGGGTTTTCTAGAGGCGTGACAGGGGTTTTGTAGAAGTGGAGAGTCTTTTCAAAATTTATTTTATTAGATTAATTCAATATGATATATGCAGTAGTCAAAATAAGGATTTTATTAAGACACTGAGGCTCCTATTATGCTGCACTTTTTTTTTCTTTTTTCTCAGTAGCAAAGAAATATAACATTAAAAAAAAATCAAACAACATATATATAACATGATACATCAGAGGTTAATCTTCCTGATAACCGGAACCAGGGCTGCCATCAGAAATTTTGGGGCCCCTGACACAGCTCAAGGTCTGGGCCCCCCGGTGCCTGCACCCGAGTCCGTCCGTCCGTCCCCCTCCTGAGTCCGCCCACAGGGATGCAGTGTCTGCAGGGCCGGTGCAAGGATTTTTGCCGCCCTAAGCAAAAGTAAAGTTTGCCGCCCCCCATGTGACATCACAATGCCCCACCCATATGATCTGCCATGTTAACTAACACAGTGCTGCCGTGTTTACAATAAAAGGCCTGCAGGGACAGGTTATGGACACCAGAACCACTATATTAAGTGGTTAACTGCAGTGGTTCTGGGGACTATAGTGTCCCTTTAATGTGAGGTAAATTATAGATTAGTGCCACGAATAATATACTAGATTGCCTACTTACAACCAGATGAGGATGATGATGGGCTCTAGCTGCCGTCTGGCTCCAATGGTCTGGTGTAGAACAGGCTCTCTGGAGGCGGTTTGTAACTGTGGTCACAAAAATCAATGTTCTGGGAGAACGGGAAGCAGCTCCATTTTTTTGAGGGCCCTTTACACAGCTCAAGGTCTGGGTCCCAGGGTCCCCCTTTATGTTCCACCAATGAGTTTGTTCAGAGGGGTATGTGTGTGTGGGGGGGATGTCCTGATGTGTGTAAGGAATGCATTGTGTGAATCTGTGTTAGTATGTGTAAGGGCTTTAAGGGCTGCAAGGTGAGTTTGTGTATGTATGGGATGCAGTGTGTGCGTCTGTAAGGGATGCACTGAGAGTGTGTAAGGGGTGCATTGCTTGTGTATGTGTGTCTGTGTGTAATGCATTGTGTTTTTCTGTGTTCAAGGGGTGCATTGTGTGTGTGTGTGTGTGTGTGTGTGTGTGTGATGGATGTCAATCTCTCCCCCCTCCAATTTCCTTCTTCTCCCCCTCTCTCCAATTTCCTTCCTCTCCCACCTCCAATTTCCTTCCTCTCCCACTCCCTCAAATTTCCTTCCTCTCCCCCCTCCCTCAAATTTCCTTCCTCTCCCCCCTCCCTCAAATTTCCTTCCTCTCCCTCCCTCCCTCAAATTTCCTTCCTCTCCTCCCCTCCCTCAAATTTCCTTCCTCTCCCTCCCCTCCCTCAAATTTCCTTCCTCTCCTCCCCCCCTCAAATTTCCTCCCCCCTCAAATTTCTCCCTTCTCTCCCCCCTCAAATTTCCTCCCTTCCTCTCCCCTCCTCAAATTTCCTTCCTCTCCCCTCCCTCAAATTTCCTTCCCTCTCCCCCCCTCAAATTTCCTCCTTCCTCCCCCCTCAAATTTCCTCCTCCCTCAAATTCCTTCCTCTCCCCTCCTCAATTTCCTTCCTCCCCCTTCAAATTTCCTTCCTTCCCTCCCCCCCCAAATTTCCTTCCTCTCCCTTCAAATTTCCTCCTTTCTCTCCCCAATTTCCTTCCCTCTCCCCTCCCTCCCTCAAATTTCCTTCCCTCTCCCCCCCTCAATTTCCTCTCTCCCCCTCAAATTCCTCCCTTCCTCCTCCCCCCTCAAATTTCCTTCCTCTCCCCCCTCCCTCAAATTTCCTCCCTTCCTCACCCCCCTCCCTCCCTCAAATTTCCTCCCTTCCTCTCCCCCCTCACTCCCTCAAATTTCCTCCCTTACTCTCCCCCCCTCACATTTCCTCCCTTCCCTCCCTCTCCCCCCCACTCACTCCCTCAAATTTCCTCCCTTCCTCTCCTCCCCTCAAATTTCCTCCCTCCCTCCCCCCCCTCAAATTTCCCTCCCTCCCTCCCCAACTCACTCAAATTTCCTCCTCCTCTCCCCCCACAAATTTCCTCCCTCCTCTCCCCCCTCCAAATTTCCTCCCTCCCTCTCCCCCCACTCAAATTTCTTCCCTCCCTCCCCCCCACTCAAATTTCCTCCCTCCCTCTCCCCCCCCCTCACTCAAGATTTCCTCCCTCTCCCCCCCACCTCAAATTTCTTCCCTCCCTCTCCCCCCACTCAAATTTCCTCCCTCTCCCCCCACTCCCACTACTCCCACTCACTCAAATTTTCCCTGACAGCCGGGCCGGCGCGCGAGGGAGCACTCTCTGTGTGCGTCCTCTTCAGCTCCCTCGCGCGCCGTGTACTGATGCCGGAGCCGGAAGATGACGTCATCTTCCGGCGCCGGCATCAGTACGGTGCGCGAGGGAGCTGAAGAGGATGCACACAGAGAGTGCTCCCTCGCGCGCCCGCCGGTGGCTCAGGGCCAGCCTCTGGGGGGCCCTGAGGTGACCGGCTGCTGGGCCCCCCAGGAGAAGAGGCTGGCCCTGTGGGTACATACCGGGTCGCAGGGCCCCCTGCGACCCGGTATGTACCCACTGAATGTGGGGCCTGGAAGGCCTGAGCAGTCCGGGCCCCCCAGGACCGCCGGGCCCATGACAACCGTTACGGTTGTCATGCCCTGATGGCGGCCCTGACCGGAACAGCCAATCAGCATCCAGTCCTTGGCATAATACGCGGTAACCATTAGATCACTTACTCTTTCTTTGCAGCTCGCTCAGTTAAGTACACTGCTCCCATAGTTTCTTAACTGTGGGATAGTTATATACTACTGTTTATCCATTATCATTGTGATTTAATATCATTTTATCTAATTATTATTTCATTGTTATTTTCATTATTTGCATTTAAATTTTATCATGTTTTATATTTATTCAGTATTGTTAAGTTTAATTGTGTAATTTGTTTTGTTTTGTATGCTTTTATCTTTGCCCCTGGTTCCTTTAACCCCTTAAGGACACATGACATGTGTGACATGTCATGATTCCCTTTTATTCCAGAAGTTTGGTCCTTAAGGGGTTAAGTAAAACCTTTTGGGGACTGAGGGGTTCTCCTCTAATTACTCCGTTTTATATTTTACTTATTTGCCCCATTTATTTTCCTTAATGGTTACTGTTGGTTCGCACCCTTTCACAGCTTTTTTCTAGTTAGATGCGATTCGCGCATGTGCGTTGTTCGGTAGTTTTCACCATTCGCAGGTTTGGTTTCATTTTTCAATCCCGCGTGCGATCTTTCGGAGTTTTAACAGTTTGGTTGTTTGCCTCTGTTCACGTGTTTTTGCCCTGATCCGCTAATTGTGCGTGGAATTTCGGTGTAATTTCGCGCCCTTTTACCCGATAGCCTTGCCTCTTCCTATCTAAGCCTTGTTGGGGTTTAGCATTTTGGGCGAACGGACGGCTCTTTTTCTCTCTGCATTATTTCTATAACTATGAGTTTATTTTCAGCGTTTTCTTCCCTTGTCGGTTAACCAATCCTATATTTAGGTGGGCGAAACGTGTCTTGGATTTAAAGCCATATCTGGACATTTAATCTGGACATTTTTGATCGATTTTTAATCATTTTGTATTTTTTCATTTTATATTTAAAGTTTAATCAATTTACACAGTCCAATTGGCTTAATCTATTACTTGCTGCTAAAGAAGGGAAGGTGCCCCCTTTAGAAGTACCTAGGTTTACAACCCAGAGCCAGGTCTTATTGACTCTAAAGAAGGTGAGCAAAACCATCAGCACTTTATGTTTTATATGTTAATTGGAACGTAATACACTAGAGATTTTCTCCTCTTATCTTGTTTTCTGAGGATACCAACCCTGGGAAAAAGGGTACAGTTTCACCAACGCCACTAATGCTGATGTGATTTGAGCCTGTCCTCTAGAGGCTCTTATCAATGTGAGTTGACACACTTACGAATAAGTTCTATTTTTATTACCATCTTTTTTGTGGATTTACACTGTATTGTTTTATTCTGTCTCTTTTGTATGTATTTATTGTACATCCAAGCTCTACACCCTACTTAGGGTAAGTGTATACTCTTATTTCCTATATAGTGCGCCACTCACTTAATTAGTATAGATTTGGGTATAATACTCACATCTTACTGATTTATTTTGTTCACTACTACATATAGTGGGAGCAAGCAAAACCCACTAGAGTTGGTAGCTGCTTTTTCTATCCATCACTATAATATTTGTAAGCGCACTATACACAGTAATTACTTTTCTGTTAGAAATACCAGAGAATTTAATTTGCAAGCTCTATATCTGACCCTGTAAATTTTCAAAACTTAATAAAGCCTGTACCTGGGAAGTTTTGTTGTACTCATGACAGATCACTGAACATAAAAATATTCCAAAAAAATCACTAAACACAAATATGAGTGTTTTAGAGTAGTAAAATGTAGTAGTAATGACTAAGTGGGAACTAAAAAAGACTGGACATACCCCATTCTGAATACCCTGGGCTGTCTACTTTTGCAAATGGTATGTCATGATGGTGGTGATTTCATTCCTGAGCTGCCATACAGTCTGAAAGGCAACATAGGCCCAGCAAACAAATCTGGCAAATTTCAATGTGTAATATCTGAAATGGGCAATAGAATATTGCCATTTAATGTAATTTGTGTAGTGCATATATTAATTGGCCACTTGGTTGCAAGGTCAGATGACAGAAGGGATAATGTAAATGGTATTGGAATGTGAAGGGGGCAGATGGTTTGCAACATGGATTGATCCTTTGATTAATCAAAGGCTCTGCAGGGTGTGACATTCTACTTGAGATGCCTGGATGTCTAGTTCCATTGTAAACTAGCTGGCTTTAGCCATATGGCCTGTACCTCCTAATTGATGAATTGATTTCTTTAATATGTTAATGATCATTAGCTTTCAAGAAAAAAAAAAAAAAGAAGAAAAACAAGCCTTGTGTTCCAGTATAAAGTCCAAAAGAAACATTAATACTTACCCGCAGATGAATAATTAAGCCTCATTTTTATTATATTTAGAATGGGACAAGCACATGATTTGCATAACTTAATAGGGGAAAGGATTGTGATGTCTGCTATATTGGGACACAAGTAAGGAGTGTCACATATCTATGGAATGGGAAAAATGGTAACAAATTCATAGATGCAATTATTATATCTGTGGCAAGGACATAAGAGGAGATTGAACCAAATGTTTGCATTTGGATTGATGTTGGTCTGGAACACAAGACCAACTTATAGTTAGTATAGGTACACCTTATCTCCACCTTTGGGTGAGGCTTTGTAATCCACAGGGTATATATCTAATGATACTGAAGTGTGTATTGTACTTGCTTGGGGGCCACCATCTACCTTACCTGGGAAGAAGTTTTACTTTGAAAACCTAAGTGATTAGGACTTCTGTTATTTTATCCCATTTGTTTTTATTTGTTGTTGGTGTAACTAATGTGATTGTCATCTATATTTTTGTATGCACTGTGACTATTTTTTGCTCATAATAAATATTCCTTTATTAAGTACTGCCTTTGTCTGTCTGGTAAAGAATCATGTTGCATGAAGAGACTAATTAGTATTTTGCAATTGCTTAGCTATTTTGCTAAGTTGTATTTGGAGGGTTTTTATTATTAGGTTTATCTGGGGGACCAAGTCACCCCATTTATAAATTGTCTTGGTGGTGGCAGCATTAAAATAGTAATATTTATATTATTATGGTTAAAGGACCACTATAGGCACCCAGACCACTTCAGCTTAATGAAGTGGTCTGGGTGCCAGGTCCAGCTAGATTTAACCCTTTTTGCAGTAAACATACCAGTTTCAGAGAAACTGCTATGTTTACATATGGGTTAATCCAGCCTCTAGTGGCTGTCTCATTGACAGCCGCTAGAGGTGCTTCCGCGCTTCTCACTGTGAGTTTCACAGTGAGAAGACGCTTGGGTCCATTGGAAAGCATTGAGAATGCTTTCCTATGGACTGGCTGAATGCGCGCGCAGCTCTTGCCGCGCATGTGCATTCAGCCGATGACGGAAGAAGAGGGAGGAGAGTCCCAGCGCCGAGGGAGCCCGGCGCTGCAGAAAAGGTAAGGGATTAACCCCTTCCTCCCCCTTCAGTGCCACGATGGTGTTAAGGGGGATTTTATCATTATTTCCGGTCTAGTGCAGAGAAATAGTGAACTTTTACCCTTTCACCACCATAACTATGTCACGCACACTCTTGGAGTAGGGTGCGTTCATGACAGCAAGCTCTTTATTTGACCCTGTAACTTTCCAAGAAACCATGAAACATGTACACGGGGACATCGTTGTGCATGTGGGATATCACAGCATACATAAATGCTAAGAGTATTATGACATTCACAGTTAAAATGCCATGAATAACTACATTTCTTTAGATTTTATTCATATTAAATAGTTTCATGTATAAATATTTCATGTGAAATTAAAACCATGTTCTGAAAAAAATGAGATATATATATATATATATATATATATATATATATATATATATATATATATATATATATATATATATATATATATATATATATATATATACACACACACACACTGCCTAAGTGTATCGTAATATTAAAAATGTGTAATTTCGTTCTAACTGTATTTTGATATTGATATCAAAATACACTTAGAACAAAATTGTGTGTATGTATATGTGTGTGTGTGTGTGTATATGTATGTATGTCTTGATAAAGACCCTATTGGGTCGAAACGTTGATGACTGATTTTTTCAACACCGGATTATAAACAAGTTTGAAAAATCCCTTGGAGTGCTCCTTCATTGATTATACATACCGAGGCTTGGAAGCACCCGGGTAATTTCTGTACTTTATTTTGGATTTAAAGGAAGAGTGCCAGAGTTTGCTTTCATATATATATATATATATATATATATATATATTAGTGTGGGTACACTTAATATGAAAGAGATAAATGGTTGAACAGACATATAGCTCAAACTTGTACAATTGCCTTTGTCCTTAAGGGGTTACAATGCTTTTTTTATTTTTGTTTGTTTTTAATTACTCATTAGTCCATTTGCATTGTATGCTTGATACTTAATTTCCACTAGAGGGCAATATAGTGATATTAAAAACATGTTACAATAACTTTCCAAGTTTCTTAATTCTATTAAGGTGGTATTTCAGCATGGGTTATACATAGTGCAGTAAAAGAAAATTTTTGTTTAAAAAGAACAATGAAAAACACAGACATAATTGGGCATAGACACATGTACAATTTATTCTTTTGGGAACTGCCATAAGTGCTTCTTACTATTCTACACACCTGCTCATCATTTTCCTTAAGAAACATAGAGTATGTAAATGCATATATGTATTATATAAAATATTGTTAGAAAAGAATGTGTGAATTAGTCTATTGTATGAATACATAAATATAGTTTGTGGACAAATCCAGTGAGCCAGTTAATCATATATCAATATCTGTGGTGACAAATCACAACCTATTAAACCTTATAGGGCAAATATGTGCAAAAAAATGCAAATACTATGTGCAAGAATTGAGGATAAAATCGATTAAATTTCCCTTCGGCAATAAATCCACCCTGAAGATTTCCTCTAATCTTCAACCATAGATACAAAGCAAAAATAGTAGGGGTGATTCTGCTAGTGAAAATAGGAAAGGCACATCATAGTGTGTAACTGTATTTAAAACTATATAAAAATACTTTAATTGGCCACTCACACGTTAGATGCCAACTTCAAGCCTTCAGATACTCTTTAAAGAGAAATATGACAGATACAAGTAACGTCACCACGCCACGTGTGTGATGACATCATATAGAGGAGGTACCCGGAAACCATGAAGAGTGAATGCAGTTTGAGGAATTTCAACCAATTGAAGGGCTCATTAGACAATCTAGGGAGTTTAAAAGGGAGAGGGGAGGGAAGGTTTTTTTTTTTTATTCTGTTGGTGATTGCTATGCACTTTATTTAAAACTTGCACTATTTTTGCACTTTCTCTTTCTTTCAAATGGTCCTTAAGCTGTCAATGTTCTGAAGCAAGAGAGTGATCTCTTTAAAGAGTATCTGAAGACTTAACGTTTGCATCAAAAGTGCAAGTTGCCAATTTAACTATTTTTATATAGTTGTACATACAGCTAATAATCATGTAGTTTGTGAATGTATGTGTAGTGTTGTATGATATATTTACTAAAAAAAGACCCCCTTTATACACAGAGAGTTATTTACTTCCCCCAAACTCCACTTACTTACAGTAACATTCACTCCCATCACTTAGTCACATTTTAGTACCCATGTCAAATCTGAGCCATCAAAATGGTGTGTGCATGTAGTACATATAGTACAAACCATGGTAGAAGTTTTAACGTCAATGCACAAGTAGTCTCTAGCAGGAGACAAAACTAATTATCAGTGAGTTGTTTTCCTGTGATGTAAAATTTTATACAGGAACAAGTTTTACTTACCTCCCAAAACGGTTGATCATGGAAGAAATTTCGTTCAGTGGGTGGCCTGAATAATTTACATTTCAAAAGAAAACCTATGTGCAAGGAAATATATAAAAACATGAATAAAGACTAAATTTACATTAAAATTTAAGGTGACATATTTCTTTTTACAAAAATATCAGCTGTTTTGTATCTTAAAGGACAGCTGTCAACTCAACACTATTTTTTATTATAATCGTTTAACAACTTTTGATAGGAAAAAGATTTTTTTAAAAGAAGTATATGTAAACATAAAATTAGGAAACTTCATCCCTAACATTAGTATATGATTGCAATATTGGATCACAGTGTTTGGAGGCTGACAGTTAGTCTCTATGGTCTTCCATGGTTCTGTGCAGGGAGTGAAACAGGGAACAGACCATGGACACTGTCTGATCCAAGGTGCATGTATATGACTGAAGGATCCTGCCATATACCAAAGGTAGGGATATATTTTATTAATATTTTCTTTACATATACTTAAGTTTAAAAAAATCAATTTACTGTCAAAACTTGATGAAATTTTATTATATATAAAAAATAGTTTTAATGTGGCAGCTGTCTTTTAAAACATGTTGTTTACTGAGGTGCATCTGTAATGCTTCGATAATTACTTGCAAAACAAACTGATATCTAAATCTATATTCCTAGTTTAAAACAGTTGTGAATAATTATCTTCGATTATTAAAGTTTTGGGGATGGTTTATCCAAACTTATTAAAAGGATACTATAGGCACCAAAACAACTTTAGCTTAATTAAGCAGTTTTGAGGTATAGATCATGCTCCTGCATTCTAACTGCTCAATTCGCAGCCATTTAGGAGGTAAATAATTTTGCTTATGCAGCCTTAGTCATACTTACCATGGCTCTAATCTATACACCAAATACACTTCATTAACCTCTTAGTGACCACACCGTTTTTCAATTTTCTTACCGTTAACAACCAGGGCTGTTTTTACATTTCTGCAGTGTTTGTGTTTAGCTGTAATTTCCCTTTTTCTCATTTACTGTACCCACACATATTATTTACTGTTTTTCTTGCTATTAATTGTCTTTCTAAAGATACCATTATCATCATCAGATCATATAATTTACTATAAAAAAGAGAAAATATGATGGAAAAAAAAAAGAAAAACACCTTTTCAAACTTTGACCCCCAAAATCTTTTACGCATATACAACCGCTAGAAAACACCCATGCTAAATAGTTTCTAAATTTTGTCCTGAGTTTAGAAATACACAATGTTAACATGTTCTTCGCTTTTTTTTTTTTTGTGCAAGTTATAGGGCAATAAGTACAAGTAGCACTTTGCTATTTCCAAACCATGTTTTTTTTTCAAAATTAATGAAAGTTACATTGTAACACTGATATCTGTCAGGAATCCCTGAATAACCCTTCACATGTATATATTTTTTAAAAGAAGACAACCTAAGGTATTAAACTTGGGGTGTTTTTACTCTTTTTTTGTGCAACCATTTTACCACCAATCTATGCCAAATTAAAAAAAATAAAAATAATTGGTGATTTTTTTTTTTTTTTTACACACAAAGCAATTTAAGAATACATGTACTGAGAACGTTAAGGGTTACTGCCAAAGAACACCCCAATATGTGTTCAGCAACATCTGAGTACAGTGATACCACCCATGTATAGGTGTGTCGGGTTTTCTGGGGGTTAAAAGACCTTATTTGGAGGGTGTGCATTCCAGTTTTCCAACTTGGAATTTTCACAGCTGGTCATCATGCACCAATGTCCTATTTGGGACATTTTTAAAGCCGGTCAATGTAATTTACCCCCAACAAACCATATATTTTGAAAAAGCAGACACCCTAGGGTATTTCAAATGGTGGTATTTTTTCAAATTTTTTATTCTTTCTTTTTGTGGTGCAAATATTTAACACACACTCTTGTAATGCCCCAACAGCAGAAATAAGGAGGACAAGATACAGATTTGAACAAGTACAAGGCATATAGGATTACTGCACACATTCTTAAAGTTAAGTAGCATAATCACAGACTTGTCAAACATGTCTGAAATACATGGAAAAGCAAATTAAGTAAGTAATCAACATGAGCTACCCAGACATGTTAAGGGTTATGAGGAATTAGATTGTAGAACATGCTTATAAAACAGGAGTATATAAAAGGTATAGTTAAAAATAAAATAAAAGAGTGAGACATACACAATGCACATTAAACAGTTGGTTCTGAGTTATGCAGGCTATATGTACTGTGGTTGAGCAGTATGATGTGCTTCGTGGATAACCAATGAATATAAAGGATAATAAGTGGCTCTTAATGAATATAACATTTCCTACGATATGGTGAAGCACACATGAGTGAGGATTTTCCACTGGGACTGGATAATCAAGCAAAGGTAAGTGGGCGTTATGAGCATTTTGGGGATGTGAGGAGAGAAAAGGGACAGTAAGACAGGAGACATCAGAATCAGGGCCAGTAGGTGTTGTAACGGAGCTCCCTGTACCCCTGACTGGGTACCTCTGCCTGACAGGAAAAGTTGTGCCGAGCAGCAATCAAATCCACAGGAGGGTGTGTGCTGAGCAGCAATTATGCAAATGGAAACCTGGTAACTGCCTTTGGGGTCAGAGGCCGATTACAGCCTATCAGATCCAGAGGAGGGGTATTTAGGCCCAGTTCTCATCCTGCTCAGTGTCCTGTTGTGGTTTCCCTAGTGGTTGCCCGAGAGCGCTTTCCTGATTAAATTTTCAACTTTGATTTTGACTTCCCTGTATTCTGGAATCCCTGACTTCTGGCTTTCCCTTATCGTTGTGTCTCTTCTGTATCCCCAGACCTCGGCAAGTATCCTGACTACTCTTTGGTACATTAAGTCCGGCCATTCTAAGGCCTGGTAATACTTTACCTATTAATCATCTGTGTGACACAATTCTACGTGCTGGATCAACTAGTAATCCTGACACTCTCACTGTAACTCTGTCTGTTGCTTGGGAGGGGGACCAACTGTACCCACTCCTGACATCTCCATCTGTGGTTGGCTGCCCAGTGGAGAGACCGAGGTCCCATCTTTACCTGCCAACTGGGGGGTCTTCCCAGGACCATTCTATGAGGTCCCCTGTTTCTGGAACTGGTATTAAAACAGGGGTACAGCAGCCAGGTCCCCCCACCTGGAGTGTAGCAGGTCTGGGTCAGACGCTCAGATTTCCTGCTCGGCAGGCACAGAGACCACGGTCCCATCTGCACCATTCAGGCCAGGTGCCTTGTCTCCTGATGAGGGGCACAGCTGCTGGGGAAGAGGGACGAAACTCAACTCTCCCGGTGTTGCACAGTTCATAAACCTCATCATTTCAGAGACAGGCGACATTACCCACTGGAATAGGCAAACATAATTCTGTTCTAGTTCCCACTCCCGGCTGGCCAGAAAAGACAGGTCTTTCTGTATGGCAGCGATCTCAGTAAGATCCCAGTTGTCTACCTGCTCAGCTCGGATGGACCAGAAGTGGGCACTGTCAGATTCTCCGATCCCCAGATAGGGTACTCCATACTGCAAAGCACATCCTGTAGTCGCTGCTGGAGTCTGGCGTCAAAGCCAGACTGGCAGTACTTGCCTTCCATACTTCTGAAGTGGTGTTGGTTTTCCCAAGGCTAGGAAGCCATACCACCTCCGCCAACCAATGTAACAGAGCTCCGTCCGCCAAGGACCACTTCCTAGCTGGGCAGTCAGTGCTAGGAGCTCTAGTCCTGGAACTGCTCCCTCCTGGAGCCGAAGGGGGAATTCCCTCTAGACACCCCCAGGAACTGGACGACACTCAGTCCTGGGAGCTCTAGTCCTTACAAGGACTTTCCCTGTTGAATCCTCCACACTGGAACAGTGATTAAAGAATAGCCCTTTCCCCTCCCAGTAACCAGACGACACATAGTTCTGGGAGTACAAGCTGGAATACCTTTATTGGCAGCCACAACTGGTGTTATATGCAGGTCCCCATGCAAGGGGCACTCTCCCCTGGACCTAAGAGTAAACTACGGTAAAAACATACACACGATTACATTGGCTTTCCGGTCCAGGACACTCCCATACAAAACAAGATAATCCCTCCCCTGTGCCTGGGAGATAATTGAGTCAAGCACTGTATTAAACTCAATTATCTCCAAGCACAAAAAAAAAAACATACATTTTCCAAACACCCCAAAAGTACCTTAAAAATACATAAAACCCCACAAAAGTTACATCCCCTGATAGCCCCCCGATCTGGGTGACCAACATATCCAAAAATCACCCAGATCGGTTCAGGGATTCAAGATTTTCCTGGAAGTCATAATTTGACCTATCGCACGCATGGTCCTGTAGCTGGGCACCGACCGGGAACCACAAAGTCTTCGTGCCGAAAATAGTTCCAGGGCTTTCGCGGATAATACCCTTGAAGTCTATTCATGGTTTTGGTCCATGCGAATGGCCGCCATGGAGCTAGCATTCGGTTCTATGTGTATGAATGGAAAGTGCCGAACCAGGGGAACCTAGTCTGTGGGCAGGAGGCTGGCAAGCAGGCTCCTCCAGGAGCTCGTGGCAAACTCACAAGGACAGGGGAGTTTGTCACAGGCGTAATATCAGATCAGAATGCCATCTTGTTGCAAGTGTCCCCATTCACCCGATACCAGAGGTTGGCAGGCTTTCGGCGTAGTGTAATGTAATGGCAGTCTCTTGTGTTGCAGCTGCACAGTACCAGCTGCAATCAGCCGCTTAAACAGGCCTCCTGGCTCGTCCGATTGCAAGCCTCTGGCCTTGCTAAGCGGGAATCCTCCTAGTGCGCTGGTTTGGCCTCAGATGTTGCGGGCTATACGTTGGAGATCTCCATACGTGTCAGGGCCCAGACAGGCGGTGGCTGATGGTGGGTCTGCTTTTGATGAGTCGGGATGTCCTCTTCCCTCTCCTCCCTCGCTTCATCACAGTTAGAGGTTTGACGGTGCGATTTAGTGGAGTTAAGTGGGGAAGTGGGTCATCGAGAGATGTCTGGTCATTCACCGATGGGCACCCAGTGGGGACCGGGATAAATCCCACCGGTCCAAAGGGGCTGTAGGAGTCCAACTGAGTCGCTTGGTGAGTTCATTGTCGGGAAGAGTGGCCGCATCTCCCCAGCTCCAACTCTAGTAGGCCGTAGTTCAGTGTTCCAGTCTTCGGGATGTATCAGTCGAATCAGCGGTGCACGAGCGTTTTGGCTCGTGAGTCGCAGATATTACCCCAGAATCCACACGTTTTGATCAACAGCAAAAACATATGTAAGGAAGGCGGAACTTGATGGACACAAGTCTCTTTTCAGCTATGTAACTATGTAATGTTAGGCGGGAGCTCATGCTGCCGTTATCGGCACTGCTTGGAGGTCAGGCTCCGCCCCCCAATTGGTGGTATTTTAACACTTTCCATGCACTAATTCTACCACCAGTCTTTGTCAAACTTTTGGGTAGTCATTTATTTGTGTTATTTTTCTCTCACACTGTACTTTAGGCATAGATTCTCAGGTCCTGTTATGTGTTACTGACAAAGAACACCTCAATATTATTATTATTATTATTATTATGTTATTATTTATATAGCGCCATCAAATTCCACAGCGCTTTACAATGGGTGGACGAACAGACATGCAGTTGTAACCAGAAAAGTTGGACACACAGGAACAGAGGGGTTGAGGGCCCTACTCAATGAGCTTACATGCTAGAGGGAGTGGGGTAAAGTGACACAAAGGTAAGGATAGTATTAGACTAGTGACAGTTGCAAATGAGGAATCAGTCGGGAGCTATTAGCAGTTTCATTGATACGCTTTTATGAAGAAGTGGGTTTTTAATGATTTTTTGAAGGAGTTGAGACTGGGTGAGCATTTAACGGAGGAGGGAAGCGAGTTCCACAGGAATGGTGCAGCCCTCGAGAAGTCTTGAAGGCAAGCATCAGAGGTGGGAGTATGGACAGAAGATAGACGTAAGTCTTCAGCAGATCGTAAGGGCCTAGACGGGACATACTTGTGTATTAGGGAGGATAGATAGGTGGGAGCAGCATTATGTAGAGATTTGAAAGCAAGAACCAGAATTTTAAATTGAGCCCTATATCTTACATGAAGCCAGTGTAGGGACTGACAGAAGGGTGAGGCGTGGGAGGTGCGGGCGGACAGGAAGATGAGCCTCACCGCCGCATTTATTATGGACTGTAACAACGCAAGTTGGGAGCACGTAAGACTACTGAGAAGTGGATTAAAGTAGTCAAGGCGAGAAAGGACAGTGGAGTGGACCAGCACCTTAGTCACATCTGTCGTTAAGTATGGTCGGATGCGCGCAATGTTTTTGAGATGGAAATGACAGGATTTGGCGATAGACTGAACATGAGGCTTGAAGGAGAGGTCGGAGTAAAAGAGAACACCTTGGCAGCGAGCCTGCGTGGTGGAGCTGATGGTAGCACTGTTGACTTGGAGGGAGACAGACACAGGAGTAACAACACTTGAGGGAGGAAAGACCAGAATTGGGCAGCCATCCAGTTAGAAATAGCAGAGAGGCAGTCAGAGACACTAGTCAAGAGGGACAGGGAAAGATCAGGAGAGGACAGGTAGATTTGCGTTTCATCTGCATAGAAATGATATTGGAAGCCAAAAGAGCTAATGAGTTTACCAAGGCAAGCAGTATAGATGGAGAACAGTAGGGGACCAAGGACTGAACCTTGGGGGACACCAACAGAGAGGAGTTGGGGAGAAGAAGCAGAGCCAGAGAAAGAAACACTGAAAGAGCGCTGGGAGAGGTAGAGGAGCACCAGGAGAGAGCAATATCTTGTAGACCGATATTGTGGAGGATGAGAAGAAGCTGCTGATGATCAAAAGTGTCAAAAGCCGCAGACAGGTCAAGGAGAATTAGGATAGAGTAGTGACCACGAGATTTTGCAGCGAGTTGATCGCTGGATACTTTGGTCAGTGCCGTTTCCACAAATGCTTAGCGCGGAAACCAGACTGAAGCGGGTCTAGCAGAGATTTCAGCATTTTGTGTTCAGCAACATCTCCTGAGTACAACAGTGCCCCCAATGTAAAGGTTTTATGGGTTTTTGCAAACTTACAGGGGTCAAAGGTAGGGCTTTCCCCTTTTCCATGTTTGCACATTGAAATTTGTCCGATCGATTTGCTGGCCCTTTGTTGCCTTTGAGAGCCCAGGAATAAAAATTAACCCCATCATGGCATACCATTTGTAAAAGTAAAAACAAACGGTATGCAAAATGGGGTATGTCCACTCTTTTTTAGTAGCCACTTGATCAGAAACCCTTGCCAAAATTAGCATTTATATTAGTTTTTTTGTATTTTTCACACATAAACTGCTATTTCACCAATGATATCAGTATAATACATTTTACTGCTCTAAAACACTCATATTTGTGTAGGGTAATGTCTCGCGAGTACAACAGTACCCATCAAGTACAGGTTTTATGGTGATTTGGAAAGTTACATGGTCAAACAAGATTTGCCAATTGCTGTTTTTGTAAATTGCTATTTGCCAGATTGACTATGTTGCCTTTGAGGCGGTATGGCAGCCCAGAAATGAAAATAAACCCCACCATGACAACCCAGGGTATTTGAAATGGGGTATGTCCAGTCTTTTGTAGTAGCCACTTAGCCACAAACGCTTGCCAAAGTTAGTGTTCATATATGTTGTTTGCATTTTTTTACACAAAAACTGTACTTTTACTGGTGATTTCATCGTCATGATAAGTTTTACTGGTTTAAACACTCAGATTTCTGTTCACCGAAGTCTCCCAAGTATTACAATAACCCCCATGTACAGGTTTTATGGTGTTTTAGAAAGTTACAAGTCAATATAGGGCTTGCCAATTAAATTCTCTGGACTGTCTGCCTGGTTGTCAGACAGGTCCCTCAAATTATAATTAATAAAAGAAAATAATTAGGCGAGCTGGGCGTATGACTTAAGCAACGTCGACGCCGTAAGGAGGTGCGTGGGGAAGCCACGAGGCAGGTGCACGGAACGGCTGGGGGGAAAAGATGCCAGCCTAAGAGCTTTACAAGGGGAAGTCAGGGAACTACTTATTTGATAGAGGTCGGAAAGAGGTCTGGAGGAATTGAGATAAGCCGGAGGTGCCGCAAAAACAACCGATAGCCTAAAAGCTAAGTGCGTGAGACAGACACAGAGCCGAAAGGGAGAGGAAAAGGATAAGAAAAAAAAAGCTAGGTTTTAAAGTGTAAACAGATTAATTAAGGAAGGGGAGAGTTACAGAGAAGAGGAAACGGCGCTAGTGGTTAACGGAAATTCAGAATCAGGTGTGCCATATACATTTGATTTATCCTTACTACTATATCTGAGCTGTAGTAAAATCTGGTCTGCCTAGTGCAACACACAGGGATGAGGGAGTCCGACTCAGAGTGGATAGCTCAATACTGAACCAGGACAGGGATACACCCAAACCTGTCCAAAGGAATAAGAGACAGTAATACCTTCAAGGTAGTGAGTTCAGGAGCTAGTTCACTATAATATGGCTTGGTTGACAATATAATAGTTGTATCCGTTTCTAGGATAACCAGTATTGACGGAAAAAAATATGTATGGTGTGTATACCTTTAAATCTGCTAAAGGCAGATTTTGTCTGTTACACACCAAGATACTCTGCTTAAATATAAAGCAACTTGATAGTTACAGATTCACAACAGCAAAAATGTGATCTGCACGGGGTTTAGAATACACACAAAATATTATAATGGATATATCTCAAAATCATAAGGTAGCACACTAAATGGTGCAAATAGGCAATATATAACTTGTATCACAGAGATATAGAATTATCTTTATCTCTATATATAGAAACAGGTGAATGCAAGTAAGTTAAAAATTCCAAAAAACCACTGAAAAATATATAAAATAAAAATGTATATTTATTAATATTAAAAAATAGATGGATGAGAAATTGTATTAAAATTAATGAGTTAAAAAGTACAATTGTGCAAAAAATACAGAAATGGGGACCAGGAACGATCTACAAGTCAGTTGTCAGCATAGATATTAAACTTGTGTCCTGATAACCACTGTAACCGAAAGGAGCTGTTCTGGCTGCTGACAGCTGTCTGTTCTCCGTATCCTGTGTCCTCTCACACTGTCGGCTTGTCTTACGCGTTTCGTGGGTGTCAGCCCCACTTCCTCAGAGAACGTCTCTGAGGAAGTGGGGCTGACACCCACGAAACGCGTAAGACAAGCCGACAGTGTGAGAGGACACAGGATACGGAGAACAGCCAGCTGTCAGCAGCCAGAACAGCTCCTTTCCCCATCGATCGCGGGACTGACGGACTGCCGGTATCAGACTATCACAGTGAGGTTTGGCACGCACGCCAACCTCGCAGCAGCCGGCAAGTACAGATACTGAAATCCTGCTACATAGTATCCACTGTAATCCTCATCGGTTACAGTGGTTATCAGGACACAAGTTTAATATCTATGCTGACAACTGACTTGTAGATCGTTCCTGGTCCCCATTTCTGTATTTTTTGCACAATTGTACTTTTTAACTCATTAATTTTAATACAATTTTTCATCCATCTATTTTTTAATATTAATAAATATACATTTTTTATTTATATATATTTTTCAGTGGTTTTTTGGAATTTTTTAACTTACTTGCATTCACCTGTTTCTATATATAGAGATAAAGATAATTCTATATCTCTGTGAACAAGTTATATATTGCCTATTTGCACCATTTAGTGTGCTACCTTATGATTTTGAGATATATCCATTATAATATTTTGTGTGTATTCTAAACCCCGTGCAGATCACATTTTTGCTGTTGTGAATCTGTAACTATCAAGTTGCTTTATATTTAAGCAGAGTATCTTGGTGTGTATCAGACAAAATCTGCCTTTAGCAGATTTAAAGGTATACACACCATACATATTTTTTTCCGTCAATACTGGTTATCCTAGAAACGGATACAACTATTATATTGTCAACCAAGCCATATTATAGTGAACTAGCTCCTGAACTCACTACCTTGAAGGTATTACTGTCTCTTATATCTGAGATGTGTTCTTATATATATATCTCTAGAATTTAAAATCAGTGAACCTGAATGTATACTTAAAGGTAGAGGCAATACAGAGTGATTGCAGAGAAGGGTGCGGGGAGACAGCGCCTGTAGAATTGTTCTCAGATTCAAAATGAACAGGAAAAACTTAATATAGTGTAGTATATTATAAATCCTGGTAGAATATAAAAAAACAAAAAAGCACTTACAATATTCTGGAGCTTATGTTCAGATCCAGACTGATAAGCATGGACAAAACAATCCCCGTCTGTGGATATGATAGTGGATCCTTGTGCTTATTGGTAAGTGTTGGTCCCAGGCTTTTAATTATTGTATCCAATATTAGAATTCACAATATACCAGAAGAAATTTCAAATGATAAGCTACAGGCATATCTGCAAGAATTTTTCAAAAAGGTTTTACCCAATTGAGATAAACATGACTATCTAATTGAGCGTCATCACCAATTACCCAGACGCAGCAATATTCCAGAGAATGTGCCATGAGATGTAATTATCAAACTTCATCGTTTCCAGACCAAAATTTATATTATGTCGGCTATGAGGCTAAAACCTGCGTTAGAGGATAATTTAAAAAATCTTCTTATATTTCAAGATATTTTTCTCTCTTATATAACCAGGAACTGGAGAAGAGGTTTTACCACTACATTAATCATGCTGAGAAAAAATAATATTAATTACAGATGGGGATATCCCAATCTGTTAAAGGTTACATGGAATGACAGAATAGAAAATTTTGATACACCCAAATTTTGATACACCCATCACATTGGGTTTAAAAATTTAATATTACATCATCTTTACTGTGGATATGAGGAGAAAATATGGAAAAGGAGGAGAAGGGAAGAGAAGGAGAAAGGTTAAGTGTGGTGCTTTTTCTGTATTTTATTGTGCCTGTTGATATTAGGTCATTCTGCTTTAAGCACCTGTAAAATTACACAAGTAAAACATCCAGGAGTAAAACAAGTAAGAAGCGGTCAAATTTATACATCCTTGGATAAATAATTAGAATACATGCGAGAGCAGATCACTAATTGGGGGGAATGGAAAAATGGCTATAATTTGGTGTTCAGCTTATCACAGCAGTATAAAAGGATAAAGAACTTGTTGCACGTGATAGGTTGGATAATGTATTATTTTTTAGTAATGATATAGTAGAATGATTAAGGCACCAAAAATAGAAAAATACAAGGTTACTAAGTTATCAAACAGGAGAAGGGTTAACTCACAAAAGATAATCTGTTAAAAGAAGAAGAAGAGAAAGGTAAACACTAAGTATAAGACACTTAAGAGCACAAAAGATATGATATAGGAGGAGAGGAGAAAAGCTTGTATCTTCTTGACTCACTTGTTTATAGCACAAGGACATAATAGAGAGTTCGAAAATATAAGCCTACACAAGATATAATATGTATAAGTTTGTTTTTGAAATGTAATATGTTATGGATTTCAGTTGGATGATGTATAATAGAGTCACTATAAAATAGATAGGTGAGTAATAAAGAAGGTATCAATAGATAGTTTTAAATAAAGAAGGAAAAATAGGTAAAATCAGAAGGATATTAAGAGACTATACTGTTAATAGTGTCCTCCGGCTAGTTGAAAATACCACGTAAGAAATAAAATTATAGGCTAATGGTAGAAATTAAATAAACGTGGGAAGAAAAAGTATTGTATATTATGGTATCCCAGAGGGGAAAATGGTAATATGTACAGCTTTTAATTGTTGTAAGTAATGAAATTGGTCATTAAGTAGATCATCTAGAAGTATGTATCTTACCTTTGATCTGGTCTTTATATATATATATATATATATATATTTCTCTCTTCCCTTCTTTTCCTCCTATTCCAGCGCTGCCTTTTGCCCAGGACACGGGGGAGGATATAGGCAAATAGTGGTTTAGAAAATTTTTACGCGGGATTGTAAACAGGAATAATTCTCTAGAAAAACAGAATATTTAACTACCCCTCCAGTTGGGCCCACCTAATGCCCCACCAAGTGTCCATTTTTGAGACACATAGACCGGAAATATTGAGTGCTTTCCTCAATTTTTGAAAGACTGGCTCCAACCAACCATATGGCTGAGGGAGGCCTTTCCATGCCAATTTGATCAAGCTCATCAATTGGCAGCATTTTGTGGATATTGTATGTGTTTTTGTCAAATTGTATGTAAACATGTCATTGTGGTTCTTGGGGGATGATGTATTAGAAACCAAATGTTTAGAATGATAACAGTGAATGCTCAGGATTTTAATTTGTTACAGAAAAGAGCATTAGTACATATCTTTCTAAGTAGAGAATAAGTAGACATAGGCTTCTTGCAAGAGACTCATTGGAGGATGAAAGAGAACATTAAATGGGGTGGAGTAAGATTTCCTACAATAATTCATGCGTCCATCAAAGATAAAAAGAAGCGTGGGGTTGCTATTATTTTTTTCTCAATCACGTAAATTAGATATTATATATCAATTTGTTGACCCAGAAGGAAGATTCCTTATAATAGTTTGTAAAATCAATGAGATTAAATACACATTAGTTAATGTGTATTTACCAAACATTTCACCAGTGGTGACATTGAAAAAAATCTTAGAATGAGTGGAACAAATAAAAACTGGTATTTGCCTTATCGCAAGTGATTTTAATTGTGTCTTGGACACTAAATATGATAATAAAGTACCTAAAGATGAGATAATCAAAAAAAGGTCTGATTAAAATGTCCAATTCCCTTACTTGTACACATTCACAAATTGATATGGTATGGGGTAGTGCTTTGGCGGTTGAACAGATACAAAATATTAAAATAATGTTAAATTCATGGTCAGACCACAATATTGTTATGGCCGATGAAAGATCAATGAAAGAAACAATAATAGAATTACTTGGAAGATAAACAATGTCTTATTTTATAATCCTAAATACTTGAAGACACTTAAAAACCTGATTTAATTATTATTCAAAGAGAATAGGGCCAAGGATACTTCCCCCTCTAATAACTGGTGTGCATGCAAAGCCACTATGCAAGGAAACCTGATTAATTTAAATTCACAATACAAAAAAAAATCATAAGATAGATTTAGCATCCTTGTATGCCAAACTAACAAAGGCATCAACTAAGAACCAAACTTCCCCATCAAAGGACAATTTAGATGACATGAAAAATATTCAAAATCTTATAAACCAGAACTTTTTAGAAAATAATGGAAAAACTATGAAAAAATTAAAAGTGAAATATTACAGTAAGGGTAATAGAGCGGACAGAATCTTAACTCAGAGACTCAGGAATAAAGTTGCAGATAATAAAATTACTAAAATTAAAGATGATACTGGGGAGCACCTTACACCAGCCACGATAGTTGGATAGTTAGATGTTTTAATACATTTTATAGTCAGCTATAATTTGCCTTCTTCCTATGATGATAAAGACATTTATTTGAAGAACTCGAAAATCCTGTCAATAACGGAGATTCAAAGAAACAAACTTAACTACCCATCTCGTCTCAAGAGGTGATAAATGCCATAAAAAATTTAAAAAATAAAAAAAATCCTGGTCCAGACGGATTTTCGAATTTATTTTATAAAACATATGCTAAAATCATTGCTGGCCATATAGCAAATGCCTTTAACCACATTGTAGCAACAGATAGTTTCCTGGCTGAAATGCTTAGAGCAAATATCTTTCCAATTTTAAAACAGGATAAAGATCCTACTAAAGTAGAAAATTATAGACCTATCTCATTAATCAATATGGATGTAAAGATCTTCTCTGCAATATTAGCAAATAGACTGAAGGAAATTCTAAATACTGTAATTGACCGAGACCAAATTGGTTTTGTGCCGGGTAGAATGGCATCAAATAATACTAGAAGAATTATTGACATAATAGATCATGGGAAAAGGAAAAAAAAACCCATTGGTATTCCTAGCGGTAGACGCAGAGAGGGTATTTGACAGGGTCTCTTTGGGATTTTTAAATCAGGTCTTAATAAGATTCGATATTCCGGGATGGATGCATAGAGCAATTATGGCCTTATATGCCAGTCCTACTTCAAGAACAGGCACCCCAAATATTTGCAGAGAATGTTTCAAATTACATAATGGGACAGGACAGGGCTATCCACTTTCTCCAATTCTATACATTTTAACTATGGAGGTTTTAGTGATCAATATTAGAAATAATCCTCTTATAAAAGGAGTTCAGACAAAACAAAGATTTAAAATTAAATATATATGCCGATGATTTGATTTTGACCATAAAAGACCCTGTCAATTCCTTACATAATTTTATGTTAGAGGTGGAGACATATAGTACCATTTCAAATTATAGGATTAATGTTAACAAATCGATTTTGATGGACATTAATTTAGATACAGCTTGTAGAGAGCTAATTTAAAAAAAAGTATAACTTTACATGGGCCGATAAGAAGTTAACATACTTGGGAATTTATATACTAAGAAATCCAATGGATTTAAAGCAGTCTAAGTTTTTGAATCTCTTAAGGATAACACATGGTTTGTTAAAAAAAAAAGGTCTCTTGGTGGGGGAGAATAAGTATAGTAAATGCCTATGTACTACCTAAGTGAGCTTACTTGTTCAGAATGACACCCCTGAATTTACCTAAACTTTAGATGGAGTTGATACAATCTGCATTAGTAAATTGTATCTGGAAGGGAAAGAGACCTAGAATGAACAAAATACTATTGACGCAGAAAATGTGTAATGGAGGTATAGGATTTCCAACTATAGAATATACATACGTTTCGAAATATAATTTTCCATAATTATATGACTCAATTGGATGATGATAAAGAAGAAGGGTGGTATTATTTGGAAAAAAGGAATAATATCGCGGACCTGGGGTCTCTTCTATGGTTTCAAAATAACGATCAACAAATAATTATTGCCAGGAAATCTAGTATATTATTAGACTTGCTACTAGAATGTTGGTTAGGAAAAAATGCAGAATAGAGAATAAGATACCATGGAATATTAAACTATTGTATCTGGTTTCATATATAAAGGATTTGCTGATAAATAAATGGATTCAAAAAGGTCTAGTGAAAGTTGAACAATTACACACATCACAATATGATGTTTGCGCCCATAGATGAAGGGAGAGATGTATGTGCATTGTTTAAAGGGATTCTCCAGTGCCAGGCATACATTTGTTTTCCTGGCACTGTAGGACCCTGTAGTGCCCCTCCCACCACCCATCCCAAGTTGCTTAAGCGGTTAAAACCCCTTCAGTGACTTACCGGAGTCCAGCGCTGATGTCCCTCAGCGCTGGGTCAGGCTCCGACTACTCTCCTCCTGACGTCGGCAGGGGGAGGCCTACTCTCCTCCTGACGTCAGAGGGGAAGACCTAATGCCTAATTATTCAATACTTTCCTATAGGGATTTTGGCGACGCTGGAGGTCCTCACATAGCATGAGGATGTCCAGCTTTGCTGAAAACACTTTTCGTGTTCTATGAACATGGAAGTCCCTCTAGTGGCTGTCTAGTAGACAGCCACTAGAGGAGGACTTAACCCTGCAAAGTAAATATTGCAGTTTATGAAAATTGCAATAATTACACTTGCAGGGTTAAGGGTAGTGGGAGTTGGCACCCAGACCACTCCATTGGGCAGAAGTGGTCTGGGTGCCTGGAGTATAGAAACATAGAATGTGACGGCAGATAAGAACCATTCGGCCCATCTAGTCTGCTCAATTTTCTAAATACTTTCATTAGTCCCTAGTATTATCTTATAGTTAGGATAGCATTATGCCTATCCCACGCATGCTTAAACTCCTTTACTGTGTTAACCTCTACCACTTCAGCTGGAAGGCTATTCCATGCATCCACTACCCTCTCAGTAAAGTAATACTTCCTGATATTATTTTTAAACCTTTGTCCCTCTAATTTAAGACTATGTCCTCTTGTTGTGGTAGTTTTTCTTCTTTTAAATATAGTCTCCTCCTTTACTGTGTTGATTCCCTTTATATATTTAAATGTTTCTATCATATCCCCCCTGTCTCGTCTTTCCTCCAAGCTATACATGTTAAGATCCTTTAACCTTTCCTGGTAAGTTTTATCCCGCAATCCATGAACCAGTTTAGTAGCCCTTCTCTGAACCCTCTCTAAGGTATCAATATCCTTCTGAAGATACGGTCTCCAGTACTGTGTACAATACTCCAAGTGAGGTCTCACCAGTGTTCTGTACAATGGCATGAGCACTTCCCTCTTTCTACTGCTAATACCTCTCCCTATACAACCAAGCATTCTGCTAGCATTTCCTGCTGCTCTATTACATTGTCTGCCTACCTTTAAGTCATCAGAAATAATCACCCCTAAATCCCTTTCCTCATATGTTGAGGTTAGAACTCTATCAAATATTCTCTACTCTGCCCTTGGGTTTTTACGTCCAAGATGCATTATCTTGCACTTATCCACATTAAATGTCAGTTGCCACAATTCTGACCATTTTTCTAGTTTACCTAAATCATTTGTCATTTGGTTTATCCCTCCTGGAACATCAACCCTGTTACATATCTTAGTATCATCAGCAAAAAGGCATTCCTTACCATCAAGACCTTCTGCAATATCACTAATAAAAATATTAAAGAGAATGGGTCCAAGTACAGATCCCTGATGTACCCCACTGGTGACAAGTCCAAGCTTCGAATATATTCCATTGACTACAACCCTCTGTTGCCTGTCACTCAGCCACTGCCTTACCCATTCAACAATATTGAAATCCAAACTTAAAGATTGCAGTTTATTGATAAGCCTTCTATGTGCAACAGCGTCAAAAGCCTTACAGAAATCTAGGTAAGCAATGTCTACTGCACCACCCTGATCTATAATTTTAGTTACCCAATCAAAAAAATCAATAAGATTAGTTTGGCATGATCTCCCTGAAGTAAACCCATGTTGTCTCTGATCTAGTATTATTAAAGAGTATCCCTTTAATAATGAAAGAGTAAATAAAGAAGCAGCCAAATTCAGATATAGGCTACTTAAAATAGCAGTCACAGCGAATATTTCAGTAATCGAGAAATGGAAAACAGAGCTTAAGATAGAGATGACAAGAGAGGAATGGTGTTCACTTTTACCCAAAGTATCTAAAAACATCCATTGTTTAAACCTGGTGGAGGTAGTGAACAGATGGTATTTGGTACCGACTGAGTTGTCTAATATGTATAAGCATTATTTCTCCCCATCATCCCTCCTTTGCCTGTTGCTGTTCATACCTAATACCTTATTATGTTATTATTATGTTATTATTTATATAACGCCAACAAATTCCGCAGCGCTTTACAGTGGGTGGACGAACAAACATGTAGTTGTAACCAGACAGGTTGGACACACAGGAACAAAGGGGTTGAGGGCCCTGCTCAATGAGCTTACATGCTAGAGGGAGTGGGGTAAAATGACACAAAAAGGTAAGGATAGTATTAGACTAGTGACAGTTGCAGAAGAGGAATCAGTCAGGAGCTATTAACAGTTTAATTGATATGATTTTATGAAGAAGTGGGTTTTTAACGATTTTTTGAAGGAGTGGAGACTGGGTGAGTGTCATGCATTCATCTGCACACAAAAATGTGGTTAATGGCATTTACCATCCTGACAGGAAAAGTTGTGCCAAACAGCATTACCGTCCTGACAGGAAAAGTTTTGCCGAGCAGCATTACCGTCCCGACAGGAAAATTTGTGCCGAGCAGCAGTCATGCACACGGAAACCTAGTAATTGCTTTTGGGGTCAAAGGCCGGTCATGGCCAATCAGATCCACAGGAGGGTTTGTGCTGAGCAGCAATCATGCACATGGAAACCTGGTAATTGCTTTTGGGGTCAAAGGCCGGTTACAGCCAATCAGATCCACAGGAGGGGTATTTCAACCCAATTGTCCTTTTACTCATTGCCCTGTCGTGGTTTCAAGCCTATGGTTATCCGCGATTTGCGTTCCTGATCTTGATTTTCTGGTATTTGACTTTGGCATCGTTTTGACTTCCCTGAATTCTGGTATTCTTGACTTTTGACTTTCCTTCATCGTTGTGTCTGATTCTGTGTTCCTGACCTCGGCAAGTATTTTGACTATTCTTGGATACGTTAAGTCCGGCCATTCTAAGTTCCGGTTATATGTTATCCTTAGTCCTAGGTGTGACACAGTTCTGTGTGCTGGATCAACTTGTAATCCTGACTGTGAGCATCTAACGGAGGAGGGAAGTGAGTTCCACAGGAACGGTGCAGCCCTCGAGAAGTCTTGAAGGCGAGCATGAGAGGTGGGAGTATGGACAGAAGATAGATGTAAGGGTCTAGACGGACATACTTATTGTATTAGGGAGTGTATTAGGGAGTATAGATAGGTGGGAGCAGCATTATGTAGAGATTTGAAAGCAAGAACCAGAATTTTAAATTGAGCCCTATATTGAGCAAGTTGCGAGCACGTAAGACCACTGAGAAGCGGATTACAGTAGTCAAGGCAAGAAAGGACAGTGGAATGGACCAGCACCTTAGTTGCATCTGGCGTTAAATTTGGCGATAGACTGAAAATGATGGAAGCAGCAGGATTTGGCGATAGACTGAAAATGAGACGTGAAGGAGAGGTCGGGTCAAAGAAAACACCTAGGCAGCGAGCCTGTGTGGTGAAGCTGATGGTAGCACCGTTGACTTGGAGGGAGGGAGACACAGGAGTAGCAACAATTGAGGGAGGAAAGACCAGTTTTGGTCAAGTTGAGTTTAAGGAAGCGGGCAGCCATCCAGTTAGAAATAGCAGAGAGGCAGTCAGAGACACTAGTCAAGAGGGACGGGAAGAGATCAGGAGAGGACAGATAGATTTGTGTGTCATCCGCATAGAAATTACATGCTTCAAGGTCATGTGCATAGAGCCATAGAAGCTATTGCACTATCATGTGTTTCCTTTGGTATGTGTACCATAATGCTTGCTTAACTGTTTATATCTGTATTTTGTAAGTAATCTTTTAGTCAAGATTATACTTTTGATTGATGCTTAACCAGTCTTCTTTGGGAAAAGTATGGGACATATTTGCAACAACAAAAAAAAGACCCTGCACACGTATCACAAATCCTTGGATCACCCCTAATGCCAATCATTGTTACACTGTTATAAGCTCAGCCTTTTACTGTCATTGAACATAATATGTGGAGAACGAGAAATAGAAACTATGGGAGATTTATCAACTTCATGATAAAATAAAAAATTGGGACAATCACTATGGCAACCAGTGGAATCAGCAGATACATCCCATTGGCTATTGCTCTATTTTACAGCTTTGCACCACTTTTCAGAACATGACGCTTTGATAAATCTCTCCCATAGTTTCAGTTTCTTCAAGTGCAATGCAATAGTGCTCCAAACTGAATTGTGATTTTACTGTAGGAATTAGGGAGCTATCTACTCGTGGCACTAATAGGATCAGAGTTTCATTCATTCAAATTGTGTCCTAACACGAATGGACAAACTGTTCTCATTCTGTTAGGACGAAATTCGGTAATTTTGCTGGCGTTTGAACGCCGAATGAAGCAGCAGGAGGAAGGTCAGAAAATTGCTTTGACCACAGGAAATGGAGTGAACTTTGCTCCTTCTCTGGGTCATAGCTGGTCAAGCGTAGGAAAAATACTTAAGACAAAATAGTCCCTACTTTGTCTTATTTTTTTAAGAAAACTAGAGCTGACAGGAAGAAATAAAGAATAGATCCTGAGAGAGGGAGAGAAGAGGAAGCGATCGAGGAAAGATAAGTTCGGAATGACAGTGCCGCTTTAATATGATCCAGTGGAAGAAGATGGTGGCAGCCATGAGGGACAGCTTCAGGTAAGTAAATAACAGCATTTCCTGCACCAGAATATACAAAGATCCAAGAAGGTGATAAAGCCACTGTAACTCCTGGGTCTTGAGTCCCTATAATATTTCAGTGGGTTAATACTGGTAGGAACAAGCACATTATATAGATTAGACTTCAAGCAAGTAAGCAACCACCCTCAATAAATGAGTTATAATAGAAACACAACCTTCCCAATAAAATTAAGACTGCTATGGTCACTGAGATAATTTTCAGTTTGAAGAATTGTGCCATTTGTGTAGTCTAAATATCAATCAAAAACCATTTCAAAGTGCAATTCTAAGACCTTTAATTATACTGACCTGTTAGGAGTCCACTGACAAGACTTACAGCCAGTGTTAGAAGGATACAGCCAATGCCAACAATTGCTTGGTAACCCAGTCTAAAGAACAAGAGAGTTAAAAACATATTTGACATATATTACAAACATATTTTATCACTGACAGTCTTGTAAATATATAAGATAGCTAGACATGAGCCAGTCATAATATGATCTCTGGATTTTCAAGTATTCATTAAGTTACTAATATTATCTACTATGATGATGAATAGAGATGTCGCGAACTGTTCGCGAACTGTCCGCTGGCGAACAATAGCGTGTTCGCGTTGGGCAAACATATCCGATTTCCGGTCCGCCCCCTATACGTCATCATTGAGTAAACTTTGACCCGGAACCTCACAGTCAGCAGACACTTCCTGGGAGGGAGGGTCTGCTGCTGATTGGGTGGAATGTGTCTGCTGGCTGTGAGGTTCCGGGTCAAAGTTTACTCAATGATGACGTATAGGGGGCGGACCGGAAATCGGATATGTTCGCCCAACGCGAACACGCTATTGTTCGCCGGCGGACAGTTCGCGAACAGTTCGGCGGACAGTTCGCGACATCTCTAATGATGAATGATCCATTACCTCTGAAGTGACCTAATTAATTAAACTACGCCTTATTAGATTATCTTTCTGTTCTATCACATATTTTACACAGGTCCATATGCTATTATAAATACCCCTTGTTCCTTGTTCAGGTTTCTATACCCTCAAGATGCTGGTTGTGAAGTGAATCTGTCGTTCCTGTACTATTCATGATTGCATAGTTCAACACCAGCACTTTACATGTGTAATATTACACTGAAAGCGGGGCTTGTCTGGTTGCCTTTCCATTTACAATTTTGTATAATGTGTATACCATAATAAATTAAAGAATGCCAAAGGAAAAAAAGAAAAAAGAAAATCCCTTGTGGCAGTATGTGAGAGGAAGACAATGCCAGTGACCCAAATATTAAAAGTACACCTGCCATGCAAAACATGCAAAATGACACATTATTAACCATGTGATAGGCATCCTGTAATTGATCCACGAATATTATGCATATGCACCTGCAACACAAGTGATGAAACAAATATAAAGGGACTCTGCTAGCCCCTGCATGTTAGATGTGATATGTAGGTTAGATCCTACTTACATATTCTGTTTTATTTATTTATTTATTTATTTATTTTTAACTTCCTAAAGGACCGCTCTACAGTCAAAAACAGGGGGGATGAGGTGGAGGTTGAATTCACTGTTTAGTAGGTATACCCCCTATGAATTCTTATGACTGGAAGACATGTCCGTGGCTGTCTGACAGTCGGGGTGTTCCCCTGTTTAATAATATAAGTATCAACTTTTATAAAGTGTTTTTTAATGGGATACTCTGATGAAGTGCTTTATGGGTGAGGAGCGGTCTTTTAAGAGGTTTAAAAAAATGATTAGTTTTGCTTCACATGTGCTCCTTTATTACTATCCCTCCCAACTAGCAGCATTTTTTCTCTTGTTCCAGAAATACTGGTGTGCATGATGTCAAAACTTTCTTGATGTCAAAGTTTCTGGGTTTGTATTTTACTTTTATAGTTTTGGGTTTTTTTTTTTTATAGTAGAAAACATTCACTGAAGTACAACTCAAAGTTCCTCATACTACAGAATGTTAAATATACTGATATTGTCAGATCTGCCATGATTGATATGTGTTCTCTCTGGAGAGAGAAGATTGGGCAGAGACAGGGCCAACGACTCCATAACATGCAGGACCGTAAAGAGGGCTGCACATATGCTGAGCTTTGCTGAAGTACTTATAACTGGATTTAAATGCCCTATATTTTACTCCAAATGTGGTGCAAATGTCTTTAAACATACTTTACAGCAGTCCTTCCGAGAACAAGTGACTGAATTGATGGAGAGGGCTTAACAAACCTATTTTGTTTTCTTATGTGTTGTTTTCAAAGTATCATTAATAAAATACATTTAAAAAATAATTTGTCAACTCCAGCCAGCATTGCCACTTTAAGGAAAGTATATCTTTTCAGATATTCATTTTCTATACATTTTGCACAGACTGACAAATATACCACTTGCTAGCAAATAATTTATGTAATCCCTGTATTTTAGCTCAGCATAGCCTGGGGTGATTCATTCAACAGAAAGTATGATAGATGTCACCAGTATTAAAAGGTCTAATAAAAGCCTGGCCAACATTATGCCTGTCTATGTACTTTATTCAATTAACAGTGAGTTATGCTGATTTGGCAACTAAATTACAAATCCTACCTAGGCCAAGATTACAGACTTGGAAAAAGTTCCCATCTTGCCAACTTTGGTCAAAATTATTGTCAACTCTGCATAACTCACTGTGTAATGAATAACCCGCACGTGTATAGAAGAACCTTGTCATGAAGGGTATCTTCATTATTATATGTTTTTTATCGTCACTCAGGCAATTATAAATGTCCGCATGGTAAACAATAGAGAAAATATGCTTTTACTATGTTCAGTATAGCACTACCAAAGTCAATAAGGCATACTTCCTAAGAGTGATAGACTTGAAACATTGTGAGAGATCAGAAACATTTCTGTTTTTGCCCTGAAGGCTTTATGCAGTTCCCATGTTAACAAATTTGACACTTGATTTTGCGGTTGGAAAAGCCAATGCTCTATCTTGCCAAGTTTAATATTAAAGGAGCGCTCAACGCACCATAAACACTTCACCGTGCTGTAGTGATTATGGTGCCAGGAGTGCCTTGACACAGATCCATTCTAAGTTGTCAAACCGTTTAAGAATGGTTTGAATTCTTACCTAACTACAGCCGACAGCAAGGTCATATTTTATGTTAGGCGGAGTAGGCACCTGTCCACTAGGGGTAGCCTTTTAGTTTGTACTTATAATGTGAATATTTGGAGCTCAAATTGGCAGATGGAAAGAGATAAGTACCAGGGGCCGTGGCCTGTATCCCTTATAGTCCAGTTATCCTCCTATGATTGATACTAGACCTGCAGGAACAGTTATAGCAGGTGTAAAACTCAGTGCTGTTCCAGCTCCTCCTGTGTCTGTGTGTGAGGCTGGACAGGAGGTGGAAGGGATCACTTCCCATCTGCCCACTCACAGCCTCTCACACAGGACATGCCTGGCAGGAGGAGCAGGAACAGCACTGAGTGATACACACAGTATAACAGCTCATTTAACTCTGTTATCAATCATAGAAGGCTGACTGGAATACAGAAATTTGTACTTTACAAATAACCCTTCAAACGTCATATGCCCTTAACATCCCTTATGCCCAACCCTAAATGTAATCCCTCCCAAAACCTAAAAAAAACATTTCCATTATCACACATTTAAGCACTTGTAATACATTTCCATTCTAGTATTTATCAGTTATGCTAACTAACAATGCAAACTCCATTTTGATCGCAAGAGACCCCATCCCATGTCATGTATGCTATGTGAAATCAATATATGTGGTGAAAGTCAGAAAATAATTGTTGAAATTGAGAGTTCAGTTGAGAGTGATCAGCAGCGTTAAACTAAGGACAGCGAACAGAAGCTCCTAAGCAGAAGCTTCTGGCTGTCAGGCAGATTTAGTAGAGGAAGGGGGCAGCACCTGGTGGAACCATTCTAAAATGTTTTGACTATTTATACATTTTTATACACGTTTATATATTTATACTACATTGGTCATGGTGCTTTAAGTGTTCCGTGACTTGGCAAATCATCACTTGGTAGCTAAATATTTTTAACTTTTTGGTTTTAATGTCCCAAAATAAAATCCCAACCTGGTTTCAAGCATTCTCTAAAGCTTACTAACAACTTGTGGCACAGTCAAAACATCATTGTAGTTCATGAAAGCTTTTTCCAGCTCATCAAGGCATCCTTTTGGCAAAACCGACAGTCAGGATCATTAATGTTTTCAGACTATTTCCTCTAACAAGTGAAAAGCTGAAAAATTATCAGCTCCACTGTGATTACAGGGAGTGCAGAATTATTAGGCAAGTTGTATTTTTGAGGATTAATTTTATTATTGAACAACAACCATGTTCTCAATGAACCCAAAAAACTCATTAATATCAAAGCTGAATATTTTTGGAAGTAGTTTTTAGTTTGTTTTTAGTTTTAGCTATGTTAGGGGGATATCTGTGTGTGCAGGTGACTATTACTGTGCATAATTATTAGGCAACTTAACAAAAAACAAATATATACCCATTTCAATTATTTATTATTGAAACCAAGTGAAACCAATATAGTAACATCATCAACATTCACAAATATACATTTCTGATTCAAAAACAACAAAAACAAATCAGTGACCAATATATCCACCTTTTTGCAAGGTCAAAAGCCTGCCACCATGGTTTCTGTCAGTGTTTTGATCTGTTCACCATCAACATTGCGTGCAGCAGCAACCACAGCCTCCCAGACACTGTTCAGAGAGGTGTACTGTTTTCCCTCCTTGTAAATCTCACATTTGATGATGGACCACAGGTTCTCAATGGGGTTCAGATCAGGTGAACAAGGAGGCCATGTCATTAGATTTTCTTCTTTTATACCCTTTCTTGCCAGCCACGCTGTGGAGTACTTGGACGCGTGTGATGGAGCATTGTCCTGCATGAAAATCATGTTTTTCTTGAAGGATGCAGACTTCTTCCTGTACCACTGCTTGAAGAAGGTGTCTTCCAGGAACTGGCAGTAGGACTGGGAGTTGAGCTTGACTCCATCCTCAACCCGAAAAGGCCCCACAAGCTCATCTTTGATGATACCAGCCCAAACCAGTACTCCACCTCCACCTTGCTGGCGTCTGAGTCGGACTGGAGCTCTCTGCCCTTTACCAATCCAGCCACGGGCCCATCCATCTGGCCCATCAAGACTCACTCTCATTTCATCAGTCCATAAAACCTTAGAAAAATCAGTCTTGAGATATTTCTTGGCCCAGTCTTGACGTTTCAGCTTGTGTGTCTTGTTCAGTGGTGGTCGTCTTTCAGCCTTTCTTACCTTGGCCATGTCTCTGAGTATTGCACACCTTGTGCTTTTGGGCACTCCAGTGATGTTGCAGCTCTGAAATATGGCCAAACTGGTGGCAAGTGGCATCGTGGCAGCTGCACGCTTGACTTTTCTCAGTTCATGGGCAGTTATTTTGCGCCTTGGTTTTTCCACACGCTTCTTGCGACCCTGTTTACTATTTTGAATGAAACGCTTGATTGTTCGATGATCACGCTTCAGAAGCTTTGCAATTTTAAGAGTGCTGCATCCCTCTGCAAGATATCTCACTATTTTTGACTTTTCTGAGCCTGTCAAGTCCTTCTTTGACCCATTTTGCCAAAGGAAAGGAAGTTGCCTAATAATTATGCACACCTGATATAGGGTGTTGATGTCATTAGACCACACCCCTTCTCATTACAGAGATGCACATCACCTAATATGCTTAATTGGTAGTAGGCTTTCGAGCCTATACAGCTTGGAGTAAGACAACATGCATAAAGAGGATGATGTGGTCAAAATACTCATTTGCCTAATAATTCTGCACTCCCTGTATTTCAGGTTGTGGTTGGTTGCGGGCCAGAAAATGGATACCTACTTGCTGAAAAAGTGTAAAACGTGGCATACACAGAAACTTGATTTGATAAGAATAAATATTAAGTATAAGTGTGCACTAATCTGTGTTAAAGTAGTTCTGTCACCTGATTTTTTTTTAACAACAGAAACTTTAAGCAGTTACAATAAAAAACGAAATAATCTAATTTATAATTGTGGTAGAAGCTGGTACAACTCTTTCCTACTCATTCCCAAGCGTATATGCAAAATAATAATTGATTTTACTTACATTTCAATGCTGTTGTAATCTGCAGTTATGACTAGAAGTGAGTAGGCAATCCCTCCAAGCAAACCAGGTAACCCAAAAATGTAATGAACTCCACATGTGTCATGTACTAACGAAACAGCATTCAATGTTCTCTGCAAAATAAATTCATATTATATAATTTTGGTGGTCCTTGGTTCCTGCTAATAAGTAACCCAACAGCCAATCATATTTTTTTATCCATGGCTGCATTAATGTTGATGTGAAATAATGCCCATGAATTTTAGGAAATCTGCCTATGACTCTTTCTTATATTGTGGGTGCCAGTGCCATTTTGGTCTGGTATTTGCCCTGGGTTCAGAGCTGAATATGCTATATAATGTGTAATGTGCATACACATCCAATGCACACAGGTGCACTGAATATTGTCTTCTGACAACCAGCTCATTCAGTGAACTAAAGAAGCAGTGATCGAATGCCACCGCTCGCTTCCATATCCAGGGAATCCGCTAAGTTGGTAAAGATATCGTCGCCGATAAATTAATTTGGAGAGGGGGTGTGACCAAGATGACCGCGTAAGGCTTGAGCTCCGTGACACGAGGCAATAAGCAATCCAACAAAACAGAAATTTGGCCAATGCCCAATAAACGACAGCCGACATTGGTCCAATCTGCCTTATCGCAACCAAAACGCCTGGTGAGTGATAATCAGGCGCAAATGAAGTGTTTCTTGGCAGAGAAAGCACCGCCCGCTCCGAATCCAAAATTCTGGCACTCTAAGCGAATCAGTAGCTCCCCATTCATAAAAAAGTAAAACATTTTTAGGAAACGGGAATTAGCGATTGGCTTAGAGCGTCAACTGACTCTAGTCAGTCAGCGGCACCCATGCCTGACGTCAATCTGCACTTCCTGACACTCCGTTTCAGAAGCCGAATACCTGGAGATCTGGAGGTAAAGGAAGCCTTTGGGGTTAAATCATTTGAGAGCAGTTTAACCCCTTAAAGGAAAGAGGGCACCCAGGGGCGTCCTGGCATCATAGCATTTTAATTTAGATGACGTTGTTATGGTGTCCAGAATGTTCCTTTAATTTGCTTAAGTGTCAGAAACATGTATTCCTGACAGCATAGTTGTGAAAACACTATTCACCCTGGCTTTATGTGATAATGACTATGCCCCTTCCCTTTCATGACACTGTCAAAAAGGGACCAAGCATGGATGTCATTACAATTATGCCCTGCCCGTGGAGATATGGAGAAGATAGGAGCCAGGGTCACTGACTTGGAGGATGAGCATGAACTGACCCTCACTGAGGTAGACCAGCTTTTGGCAGCAGGGACAGTTGGCTCTTCTCAATCGTTATGTGGAGGACCTGGATAACAGGAGGAGTTGGAGCAATCTGCACATAAGTGGGGTCCCGGAATCCACCAGCCCTGAAAATGCCATTACCATCTTAACTGGTATCTTTAACCACATTTTGGGCAAGCCCGAAGATGCTGCAGTCACCATTGATAGAGCTCACCGCATATTAAGACGTAAGTCTCGCCCTAAGACTCGCCGAGAGATATCATTTGCCGGCTTCACTACTATGCATACAAGGAAGATCTACCTCGTAAAGCTTGCAGGCTGCTGCGCCCATAACATATAAAAATCACACTATTGAGATATATCAAGACCTAGCCTGGTCTACTCTCCATGCCAGAAGGCAGCTAAAGCACCTTACTGAAGCTCTCTCAGCAAAGGGCCTGAAATACAGATGGGGCTTCCCACTCAGCCTGGCAATTCAACATGACAGAGTGATTTACACAGTCACATGCCCCAAGGATATACCAGAATTGACGTCCAAGTTAAAACTACAGGTACCTGAAATCCACGCATGGCATGGCAACATCCAGGCCCAAGCCAGCCCACCGAGGCCCCAGCGTGAGAGATGGAATACAGTACCACCTTGACACAGGTCAGGGTGGAATACCTAGGCCTGATCAGAATTGGTATCCAGGTAACCTAATGGTCTGATACTGAACCCGCAGGATGCAGCATAGCGGGTTACCCTTGTACTCCCTAGGCACGGACTTCTACTTTTCTCTCTAAAATTCGGAGCACAGACGGACAACTGGCACACAAATCAGAGGAAATTGCTACAGAATTCTACAAATTCTACACTAAATTATATAATATTCCTTCAAATAATGACACAGACTGGATCCCAGACAGCCCCCTCACACAATATCTGAATGCCCTCTTAAAAACAACAATAGACAGACATGGCCGACTCACTAGATAACCCCATCATGAAAGACGAACTTACCGCAGCTGTCAATCACCCCTGAATAAGAGCCCTCGACTAGATGGCCTCACCACTGGGTATTACAAGCAATTTCTCCCCACACTCGCACCATACTTTCTTCGCGCCTTCAACGCTTTCACTCAGGGGCACCCTATGTCACCACAAACATTAGAAGTATAGATTACCCTCATTGCAAAGCCAGGTAAAGACCCGTAATGGTGTGGAAGCTACCGCCCCATATCGCTATTAAATAACAACTCAAATATTGTTTACATCCATACTGGACCAGCAGACTGGGACCTCTCATGGAGGGGGGAGGGGGCTGGTCCATTCCGATCAGGTGGGCTTTATTCCATCTAGGGAGGCCAAAGAAAATACGACTAGGGTAGTCAACCTGCTTTAGCTGCTGCAAAACATTCTGGGCATCCCTCACTTTTCCTATCCACAGACGCTAGAAAGGCGTTCGATCAGGTGGACTAGCTGAAACAATTTTTACAGTGTGGCAGGGTACATTATACTCCTGAAAAAGGCAACTGCCATCAGGGGAAACTATTTAGTAACGACACTGTTTTTTTTTTTTTTTAATTGTTTGTAATTTTGCATAATGTATATATTCACGATGCTCCTACAAAAGATTAACTAAATACAATTTAGTTATTTTAGCACTAGCACTATATAATTTGTTTGCCATGTTAAGATTGTGTAGGACCCGCTGATATTGGGGTACTGTGGCATAGTGGTGGGCTTAACATGATATAGCCATATGCTGGAGCTTAATTCCCATATTTGTTTGCTGAGAAAAGTGATTTTAAGTTGTCTTTAAACTGTAAACTGTTTTTAAACATCTTGGTCTTTATGGCAGTACCACTGCTGAGAACGGCAAATTTCCCTCTTTTTACTTCCCATTGTATTCTCCTGCTATCTCTTCCCTGCTATCTCTTCCCCAGGTAAATGATGCACATGCACTCAGCCATCTAAAAGAAAATGTGATTGAAAAGAAAATGTGATCCATCAGACCAGGCAACTTTCTTACTTTGCATTTCCCATTGAAAATGCTTTTTGCAGTGGACAGGGGTCATCATGGACACTCTGACCACACACTGCATGGACAGCATTAAGTTTTTCAGCAATTTGTGTAGCAGACTCATTCCCTCGCAGTTCGCTTGTCTGTGCCCCCTTGTTCATTTCCCAAATGGATGATGTGTGGTCCCCCTTTTATACACAGACCAACCCTAGCTTGCACCACTTTTGGTAGGTACTAACTACAGCATACCACAAACATTCCAGAAGGCTTGCTGTTGGAGATTTTCTGACCCAGTTATCTAGCCATCAGTATTTGGCCCTTGTCAAAATCACTCAGATCTTTTTGTTTGCCCATTTTACCTGCTTCCAACACATGAAATTCAAGAACTGACTGTTCACTTGCTGCTTAACATATCCCACCTCTTGTGCTATTATAATGATATCAATGTTATTTACTTCACCTGTCAGTGGTTTTAATGTTGTGGTTAATGAGTGTAGGCCAGTCATTTTTTGTTTCTTACAATTCTTGTGAAAATAGCTTGTGTGTGTAAAATTATGTGTAAAGTGGGAGCTTGTTTTCTAATAGCAGTTTGGTTAATAAGTGTATTGCAATGAAATGAAAACAGAATTTGAAAATCTTAGGATACTCAATATTGTAGTATAGGTGAGATGGGACTTATTTTGGGGTGGACATTGGTTAATTAAAAAATAACAGTATATACATTTAATGAATGAAGTAGAAAATTGATATACATTACCTGGAAGTATGTGAGACTAATTGCTGAAGTTAACCCTGCAAAGAATCCTATGGTCATAGCAATCCAAGGATACTGAAGCATGAAAGCTGAATATCCTATAGCAACCCCTCCAGCCAACATGCCATTACGGACATGGCTCTGAAAGAGATGTTAGCTGAAATTCAGTATGAAATAACGAATGAAATAACGAATGAAGTAGCACACATTTGAAAGGGTTCTAAAACAACAGTCTACTAAGTTAGCTATCAGATATACTGTATATCATGCATGAATGTTGTATATGTTCTAAACTGTTGCAAATCTATCAAAATTGTGGGGAAAATAACATTAAGAATGTTGCAAATTAAATACTAAAAGAAACACGATACAAATCACAAACATGAATCAAAACTAACAATCATCTGAAGAAAACAACAATTTACCACTAAAGATTGTTTAAATTTAATACAAGTTATAGCATTTTTCCAAAAGATCAACACAATTTATCAGAACTATTGATATCAGGTCAAAAATGATCAAATAAAAAAATCAGGGTGCTCAGCCCCAGCTAAGGGATATATTTGGTGATTTTTGGATGTGCCTGAATACAAGGAGATACTTTTAGCATGCTGATAGGGAGTTATAATATAAATATATATATATATATATATATATATATATATATGGAAGGTGACTGATACGGTGTATGTGTCAGATTACCTACCAGCGTTGTGCGTCATATTGCTCTGAAATGATGTGTCACTGTGTCCCTTCTCCAAAAATAATGATGCAGAACGCTCCACCATATACCTTACTTATATAAATGATGGCTATGTCATTCTGCATCTGAACAAATTGATGCATCTATCAATCCAGCATCCTCACGCATACACATTTTGGGGACACAATATTTGATGCACATATTTCCATTATTTAAAATTCTCTGTTCAGGGAAGAGGTGGCCTTTTGTGTTTTCCCTAAGAACAATGGCAAATTCCTTGCTGTAGTTTGATTTATGCTTACGAGCTGGCTTGTAATGCAATGCTTTCTGATTTTAGAGAATTGTTTTTGCTGGACTTAGGTTCTAGTTTATTGGGTTAAATTTGGAGAAACTAGTTACACATTAATGTTCTTTCCAGTCAGCTAGAGAAACCAAAGAAGACCCTTGCAATATTCCAATGAGATCATTGTGCAAATAAGCATGCAAATCAACTTGTTCTTTCACTAAATATCACCTGGTATGTAAATTTAATTTACCAGGGCCAAAATAAATCTTTCAGAGAGAGTCAAATTGTCACATTGAATTCAGTAGTTCATAATGTTAAACTTCAGTAAATACATATTTGCCAAGTGAGTTTGATGGTGGTACAATTGTTGTTGCTAAATGTGATGCTTCACCTCTATTATCCTGCGAGTTTAGATAACTGTGTATTAAACAAAAAATATTCATCAACCAGCAACAGGCCAACATTTTACGTACTTTTTTCAAACTTTTTTTTTTACAAAAAGGGAGCTATTGATTGGCTTAGAGCAGGGGTCCTCGAACTATGGCCCGCGAGCATTTAGGGCCACCCGATGGGCCCTATATCTTCAGGGGCCTGGTCAGCGCTGCTGTATGTATGTGTCTGTCTGTTTGTATATGTATGTGTATGTCTGTCTGTATGTATCTCACTATGTATGTATGTTTATGTGTGTGTATGTATGTATGTATGTGTATGTATGTCAGTATGTATATGTCTGTCTATGTATGTCAGTATGTATGTCTGTATGTATGTTTGTCTGTCAGTATGTATGTATGTCTGTCAGTATGTGTGTGTGTATGTATGTCAGTATGTATGTATTTTTATGTGTGTATGTATGTCCTTAAGCGTGTTTGTGTCTGTATGTATGTTAGTATGTGTCTGTGTGTCTGTATATGTCTATGTGTCTGTTTCAGTATGTATAGTAATGCGTTCAAATTTTTTCAAACTATAGTCCGGCCCCCAACAGTGTCTGAGGGACAGTGAACTGGCCCCCTGTTTCAAAGGTTTGAGGACACCTGGCTTAGAGTTTCAACTGACTACTCTAAGCCAATCAGCTGCCCCCCACTCTAGCTGCTTCCCCAGGCTTCTGTTCTGAAGATTTTGACAAATTGGATGTGGAGGGGGCAGAACAATATGGCACTGGAGAAGAGACTTGGTTTGTGAACAGTTTAACCCCTAAAGGTAAGCCAAGTGCCAGGGACCTCCTGGTTGCATTTTGATGAAGTTGTTATGGTGCCCAAAACTGTTCCTTTAAAGTAGGGCTAATTTGAAATTTGTCTTGGGCAAAATTTATATCACATGCTAATTCAATCCTATCATCATAGATGTATACAGTAAAATGCAGACAATAGGGTCATGACACCTCACGAATTCATGGACCAATCTTGTCTTGTGTCAAATGTAGAGTTAGGCCTGTTAATATCAAATGTGAATCATTTATCACAGCCACATAGTCTCTGTGGTTTCAGTTTACTTCATTGACTCGTATAATACCCACAGTTAATTCAATCTAGCATCTTATGGTTAAGATGAAATGGGATAGTCTTGATATAACTGTGTGGCCAATAACATTTAAGAACTAGATTTTGCTACTAAATTAGCAAGTACAAACATTCTTACAGATTTTTTCCAGCACATTACTGTATGCATGCTGCAATTACTTGGGCTTTTCTGGAGGCAAAAGAGGGTCTTGCCCAGAACTAGTTTGTTGGTAGATAAAGTTTCCAGTGGGTATGTGTGCATGTGGATGTGTTGCAACTACATGCAAGACCTAAAGGTGCACATATTACATTTATATGCCATTAATCTAAATATGTTTGTCTCTACAAGTACTGAAATACTTTGATGTAATTCAAAGACTAGGACATTTTAAGATAATAACATAAAATAATATCATTTTTTTTTTATATTAGTAGATTTACATTTACTTTTTAATTAAATGCACTGATCACATTGTCTAGTACATATAATTTTATTAACAGTCCTTAAGATATGTGTTTGGGCATACAGTTGTGCTCACAAATTTGAATACCCTTGAAAAATTGGTAATATATGTACCATATTTAAAGAAAATATGAGTGAGCAGGCAAACATTTATTTTATTTCCAATGGGATTCATATTCAACTGTAGGTGAAAACAAAACACGGCAACAAAGAAAAAAATGAAATGACCCGGTTCACAAGTCTGCCTACACTTAGTTCTTAATACTGTGCATTCCCCCCTTCAGCATCAATGACAGCATGCAGTCTTTTGTAAAAGTTGTTTATGAGGCCCCTAATTCTTGCAGGTGGTATAGCTGCCCATTCTTTGGTAGTCTTGCATGAACTACACGTTTGAGATCTCCCCAGAGTGGCTCAGTGATATTAAGGTCAAGTGACTGTGATGGCCACTCCAGAACCTTCACATTTTTCTGCTGTAACCACTGGAGGGTCAACTTGGCCTTGTGCTTAGGATCATTGTCATGCTGGAAAGTCCAAGAGCGTCTGTTGCGCAGCCTTCGTGCAGAAGAATGCAATTGTCTGCCAGTATTTTCCTCGTGCCTTTAGATCTCACACCGCCCCAAAACATTAGTAACCCACCTCCATGCTTCACAGTTGGGATGGTATTATTTTACCATAGGCCTTATTGAGCCCTCTCCAAACATAGCACTTAGCACTGTGTGTGTGTATGTATGTGTCTGTCTGTGTGTATGTATGTATCTGTATGTATGTGTTTGTATGTGTGCCAGTATGTATGTGTTTGTATGTATGTGTTTGTATGTATGTATCTGTATGTATGTCAGTATGTGAGGCTACAATTATTAGTATTTGTTGTTTGGGTTTCAGTGTAATGTCTGCTAATACCTGCTGCCAAAATGGGGTGATATCCTGGCACAGCCACCAGATATGCTCCATATCTCTCTGTTCCCCATTGCATCTCCAACATTTATCACTCACTGCAGGCCAGTAAGTATGGAGCTGTACAGGGGTTCTGTACCATCTGGTGACCTTCTTGTAGAAGGCCTCCTTCCTGGAATTACTGACGGGGGCTTTGATCCCTGCCTCAAGCAGGTGCGTCCAATCTTGATTGGACACATGGATATGTAGACCTCTCATCCATTTTTGTTGGAATAAGACCTCTTGCTGTTCTACAGAGCTTGTTTGGTAGATTTTTTGACAGAGTATGCATGTGGTCCTGCCCTGTGCCACATATGAGCTCAAAGGGGGGTTTGTTTCTAGTCTAGCCCGATTGGCAGAACCGATTTGTGTAAGTCTCTCAGTTGGGCTACCCCCAGGAAATCTAGCAGTGTTATATCCATATTCGGTCTATGGAAATACTTTAGTCTGGGTGGGTCTTCCTCTGTCAGTACTTGGGTTATGTCTTCATTTGGTTCCGCCGTCAGTTGGGATAGTATTGTGCTGCCCATTTTGAAAGTCAGGGTTGTTTGCTAGGGGAAAGAGGGAAGATATCCCTGGTGCCAGGTTCCATGTGTTTTTGTGCCTTCTCCATGTTCGTAATGTGTGCGATATGATAGGGTGGACAGTGGGGGTGAGGACACAAATATTGCATGTTTTCCATGGGAATGAGTACAGGGGTGCCTTTGCATAACTCTGTTTGAGGGCGTACCAAGATTTTTTCTTGTCTGTGGCTGTCCATTCTGTTATTCTTGTGAGCAGGACCGCCACATAGTATCTGTACAAATGCGAAAGGCCAAGACCCCCTCTGTGTTATAGGTTAGACGTGGAACTTTGTTGCCCCATATGTAGGATATGAATGCTGTTTGCATGGTGCTCAAGAATGTGGTGGGTAGGGGGATTGGGAGGGCCTGGAACAAATATAGCACCCTAGGGAGGATCATCATTTTCAAGATGTTGATCCTTCCCATGAGAGAGAAATAGGGTAAGTCACATTTTTTTAGGTCTCTTTTAATTTCCTCCATTAGAGGAGTGTAGCTTATATTGATCTGAGGATGTTGTGGCTAGGCGGATCCCTACATAGGAGAGACCTGTATCCTTCCACTTGAATATGTATTTCTTGGATGTGTGCTCACCATTTTGATGGTACCGAAACCCCCAAAATTACGCATTTGTCTGCGTTGATTTTAAAATTTGGCAGGTTTACAAATTTCTCTATTTCCGTTTGAACTGGCGGTAGAGTGCGCAATTGGTCGGTGAATGTGAGTAAGACATCATCCGCAAAGGCAGAGACCTTAACCTTCCCCCCGGGTAACTGCATACCCGCATCTTGCTATTGTTCGGAAGTGCCGTTGGGAAAGGTTCCATGGCAAGGACAAACAAGAGAGGGGAAAAGGGGCAGCCCTGGCGCGTGCCATTACTAATTACGAAGGGACTGTACTGTTGTCCATTAACACCAACACTGGCCGCAGATCCTCTATACAGTGCCTAGATCCAGTTTAGCAGCTTCGGCCCAAGCCCCAATGCCTCCAGTGTAGTAAAGAGATTGGACCCATCTACCATGTCAAAAGCCGTCTCGGCATCGATCGCCAGTAGTAGCGTTGGTGTTTTGGTTGTGGTCGCCCCATGGAGTATGCTCATGATTTTGGTAGTATTGTCCCTGGCTTCACGGCCCGGCACAAACCCAGCTTGGTCAGGGTTGATCAGTCCAGGCAGGAGGGGCTTGAGCCTATTGGCTATGAGTTTAGTGGTAGCTTAAGGTCCAGGTTAATGAAGGATATATTTTATATGTCTTTTCTTGCTATTTGGAACCTTCCTGTCTGCTCTATATATGTAAAGGAGGAAGAAACCAGAAGGATATACATCAAAGTGGGTGGTTGATCTCCCCTAAAAGATCACAGAGCGCTACACACTAGAGCCAGGTGACCAGTTGGCTCTACTCTTGTGAGTTGTGAATTACCACTTATTCCTAGTATACTTTTCTACATAGTTCATACCATCTGCACTATGTGTATATTGTATATTATTTTCAGATTACTGTGAAGGAATACCATTGAATACATTTGTCATTTATCCAGGTACTTTAAAGCTCCACTTATATTTCTTTTCTTCAAATCTTCAAAATACCTGTTGTGTGGAGATCTTCCACTACCCGAGGGTCATCTAGGAAAGTCTAGTTCAGGCACCAGTTGGTGTTGCATCTAGTGTCACCAGTGTTTATAGTCAGGAATATAGGGGCGTGGTCGGTCCAAGTGATTTTGCCTATGGATGCTTCCCTTACCAAATGTCTGTGGCCTATAAGGAACATATCTATTCTGGAGTAACTGACGGCTACAGGGGAGTAGAATGTGTAATCCCTGTCCTGTGGGTGCATCAGTCTCCAGCAGTCCATAACTTGTTGTTGCTGAGTGTAGGGTGTTGTGAATCAGTGATCACTGGGGTGACTTAGTGTCTTTTGCCTTGGATGGTCAATTGGTCTACCGCATGATCAAGCACCATATTCCAATCGTCCCTCACTATAAGAATCACCTCCGCAAAACCCTCTCAATTTCCTCAGGCATGAGCGAGTAAAGGCAATTTGACCAGAATTCAGAGCATATACATTCGCCAGCTCTGTAAAGGCAATGCGTGACGACATTAGTATGGCTACTCCCCTTGACTTCCCCTTGCTCTAGTTGCTGTAATATGTCTGGTGAATATATTTGGATCTGAGTCTAGGTTGAAATTCTCACTTATAATGGGTGTCTTGGATAAACATAACATCAGCTTTCTAGCCTGTCTAATTCTTGTGTTAACATGAAACGCTTTTCTGGGGTATTGAGGCCTGTCACATTTAATGACAGTAGGTTAAAGGGACACTCCAGGTACCCAGACCACTTCTGCCCATTGGAGTGGTCTGGGTTCCAAATCCCACTACTCTTAATCCTGCAAGTGTAATTATTGCAGTTTTTATAAACTGCATAATTACCTTGCAGGGTTAACTCCACCTCTAGTGGCTGTCTACTAGACAGCCACCAGAGGGCACTTCCGTGTCCCTAGCACAGGAAACCTGTGCTAGAGCGTCGCTGGACGTCCTCACGCTGTGTGAGGACCTCCAGCGTCACTCATTTCCCCATAGGAAAGCATTGAAAATCATTTTCAATGCTTTCTTATGGGGTGCGCTAATGCGCATGCGCGTTAGGTCTCCCCAGCTGGTGGGCGGGATCAGTCTCGCCCACTGGCCAACGCAATCACAGGGAGGAGTGGCGGCAGAGGAAGAAGCAGCGACGTGGGACAGCCTCTGGTAAGTTATTGAAGGGGTTTTCACACCTTCAGCAACCGGGGTTGGGGGGTGGGAGGGAGAGGGGACCTGCAGTGCCAGGAAAACAGATTGTTTTCCTGGCACTGTAGTTTCCCTTTAACCTGGGTCATATTGGACTTGTGATAGAGTTTCCGCTATATTGACGGCCCCATTTCTAACACCATGATAGTTGGGATGTGGCAGAGTGGTAATAAGGAAGCATAAGACAAAGTTGCAGGCAGACGAAGAACAAAAACGATATACATCAGTATGATCTAAATTACTCATACTGACAGAGAGAATGGTGCCAAACCTGTAGGAGACATGGTTGTATCAACATGTAGTTGTGGGGCACCTCTTTGGGGGTAGGGGACCTAGTTATCGTGTGGGGAACTGATTGATTGCTTCAGATGCATTGGTAGCACCACGGATCGCACCCATACCACAGATATGAGCATGACCCATACCGCATGAACTGCACCCGGAGCACAGGCACCTGTAAACCTTACATTTTTCATATTAGGATATTATCAACTTTTCTGTGGCCACATGGGCTCAGGATATGCAAATAAACTAATATAAACTAAGAAATCATTGGCATTATATAGTAAAACAGTTGGGACCCCATTCTGTGGGTTACATTAGTGCAAAGGATATATTCTTCCACCCTTAAGTCCCAGGCAACCTTGTCTCTAGGTGTGGAGGGGTGTTCGGCACCATGTGGGACTTGTCTTCTGCATTTCTTTGGGGGTCTTTGCCACCTGGATCTTTGGCCTGCAGGAAGTCCGGTACCTCCGTTGGGTTGCTGATGAAATAGGTCTTGCCTTGCTGCGTCATCACCAGGGCGAAAGGGAAAGTCCAATGGAATTTTATATTTTTGTCCAGGATTTGAGTTATAGGCCGGAGCACTCTCCTGGCTAGAAGCGTTGCTGGGGAGAGGTTCTGGTCCTATTGCAATTCACTTGTTTGGGGGGCCCTCCGGAAGATCTCTTGCTTCAATGGGAAGCTATGAATATGACATATAAGGTCGCAAGGTTTATCTTGCGGAAGGTTTCTAGGCCTGGTTGCTCTGTGGGCCCTGTCAAACTTAATGGTCGTGGCCAGAGACCTAGAGAGGATCTGGTCAAAGAGGGTTGTTAGTACCTTCATGGGGTCCTCTGTGGTTGTCAAGGATCTTACCTGAAGTGGGAGTCCAGCACGCAGAGTTGAGGCACCCTTTGCAATTCGACACAGGCCAAGGGGACTCAGGACAGAAATCCCCAAGGTTGTGACACAGTGCACTGGGGCTGAAATAACCAGTGCTTCCTAGAACGCAGTACAGACAAAGGATATCCAGAAGAGTAGTCAGTATCAGAATCAGAAGTCAGGACAGGCGGCAATCAGGCAAAAACGGTAGACGAGCAGGGGATCAAAACCAGGAGTCAGAAGAATAGCAGTGAAACCAAACAGGAACAGGAAACACGATCTGACAACGAGAACCAGCCTTGCGGGGTTTAAATAGGGAGTCTCAGCCAATCATCAAGGAACCAGGAACAGGTGTGCACATTCCAAGTGAACAGGCTCAGACTACAGGATACCAAGAACAACCAGAAACAGTCAAAGATGCGTGGAGCTCAATGCAAGGATACCGACTGGGATGCAGGAAACTCAGGTTTGATCCCAGCCAGACCCAAATACACAATATTGTGTAAAGCACAATGGTGATCCTGACAGTGGTTTCCTCCGGGCCTTCCAGAATGCCCCTCACCCGCAAATTTTTCCGCCGTCCTCTGTTGTCTACATCCTCCAGCCTCATGTGTAAGTACAATATAGCCTCTGCATGTAGCTTCTAAGTGGTGTGGCATTCAGACCGTTGCTGTTCTGCCACTTCACCATTATCCTCCAGAGCCTGTACTCTGTCACCCAGATGTTGAACGTCGGTGCTGACGCCTTGTAGTTTTTCCCCGAAGCTCTCCTCCAATCTCTGGAACATAGCAGCAATGTCTGCCTTGGATGGGAGTTGTGTGATTAGTGCCAGGAGGTCAGTGTCCTCAATAGAGCACTCTGAAGTCGACAGGCTTGTTTTTCGGCTGCCACATGTGCCGACTGAGGTGCCATTTTGACGCTCTGCTCCGACTCCGTTTGCTCAGAGAAAAATCTCTGTAGAGATGATTTAGAAGAGGCAGAGTTGGTGGCAGGTGTCCCCGCAGCATTGCTCTGCTTTTTTTATACCATTATTTCTGTTTTGTTGTTTACATTCAGTTACTTGCTGAGCTCAGCTTTCCCCAGTATGTAAACCTTTGATCAGGGCCATTTGGGGATTGCTGTTAGCGTTATTATTTGAAAAGTAGCCGAACTATGAGCAACTATGTGATAATAAATGACTTCATATGATCACTATCCTTCAATAAAATAAATTTTTGTGTATGATCAGTCATATTTTCAAAATCAATGCCAAAAATTTCACAATTTCTGTCAGAGTATGCAAACTTTTGAGCACAACTGTATGTCTACTTTTTATATTATACATATGTACAAATTAAGTATCTATGTTTTGCACCCTCTCTTCAACATGTGACCTATTATTGGTGTATAAAAAGAGCAAATAGGGGCGCGGGGCCTGACCTGCAAACGGAGTAGTCGCATTGCGGGGAGCTCCCGAAGCCATTGCTGATTCAAGGAAATTTCCACGGATCCGATGCTTACATTGATGCCGGAATACGCCCAGACTACGGGCACTCTGGCGAATTGACTGATACCGGACACCGGTGTTTCCCGCAAGCGTGTAACAGAGGTGGCCTACGGTGGATGGGGATGGGGGATAGGCGGCCGCTCTCCTCGCCTCTATGCCGGGGGCGCTGAGCCACTGATTGCCCGCTCCCCCCCTTAGGACCGGTGGGGGTGATCCCGGTCCAAACCTGCCAGACACAAGAGCCACGGCTGACATGGATGGCGGAGCACCTACAAGCAACCCCCAGCTCCACAGGCCCACACAATGGTGGACGCCACGTGCGACCATAACGGCTGCGGAGGGGAGACTGCCACGATGACAAGGCTGACTGCAATCTTCGATGCCTTTTGGGCGAAACTAGAAGCCAGAGAGCAGCAGGCTAAAGCACAAAGGAACCTACCCAGAAAGTCCCACAGGTATTCGCCACAGCTGAGCTAAACCCCGCTCAACAGTCAACAAACAAAAATGGCGCCGAAGACGAAGACATCTCCCGCCTGCCTGTAGGCACTTATACAGAGCGGTGCTACCTCCCCGAGAGGATCTACGGGATCCAGGTCAATCACGCACGACATCAAGCACCGCCCAGCGACTGCTGAGTGGCAGACCCATACCGTGGTGCCGGAGCACGACAAAGTCACGGGGAACCATAGAGTCCCGGACAAGCACACCACATACCTGCACTGTGATCTCAGGTACCCACGGCGATGAACAAACGTGCCCACCACGGGAACTACTCCAGCTGGACGTTGCCCTACCCCTGCGAGACCCCCGTGCATGTCCTACATTCTTTCCCCTGCTAGGAATTGGATAAAGAAGGACTCACATCGCAGGAACGCACGGGGCACACTGTTTGGTACCTCTGCCGTAATAAACCCTGGCTAGTCCATTCTGCAACTCTTTAAGCCGAGTTAGCTGTTCAATACTGAACTTTACTGCTTGGTACTGCTCAAACGTTTATCCTCACTGCATATATCACTGATACCTGCATGATAATATTATGTCTTCTTTTAGCTGTGTTTCTAGATAGACTGCTACTGGACAATTTTATGCCAAATAGCCTTTGTGTCTGGCAGCTTACAGGTTGCCCTGACTCCGAGTTCAACCGAGTCTTATCAGCAAGTTTTTTAGTTTATTCGTATGTAGGCATGTGCATGGGAAAAAATTTCAGTTCGGTTCAACATTCCGAAATTCGGCAATTCGGCACTTCGACACTTCGGAATTTCGGTAACTTCTGTACGTCGACACTTCGGAACTTCTCTTGCAGCCGCTTGGTAGATAACTCCCTAATTCCCATGGTCTTAGGGAGTTAGCTACCAAAAGGCTGAAAGACCTAAATTGGTCTTTCAGCCAAATTTACTAATACTAAGTAAAGATTACTTAGTATTAGTAAATTATGCCCCTACTCGCTATACTGCGAGTAGGGGCATGTCTATTAAACAGTGAGCAGCCTCCCTCGAGCGCCATGTGACTGGCCAAGTAACTTACATTTTATATGAATGTGTGTTACTTGATTGTTGTAAGTGTTGCAAACGCTTACAGCTGAATCCTGGCTATGTTTGTATACCTTTTATTTAAAATAGTATACAGTGTAACATTCTTCTTCTTCCACTGGGTAAGTATATTAGTACTTAGGCAATACTGTGCTTCGGAACTTCGGAAATTCGGCACTTCGGAACTTCTGCAACTTCGGAACTTCGGCACTTCAGCACTTTGGAAATTCTCTAATTTCGGAACTTCGGGACCTCGGTAATTCGGCACTTCGGCAATTCGGCTATTACCCGAATGGCCGAATTGCCCAAATGGCCGAATTTCCCTGAAATTCGTCCGAATTCATATTCGGCCCAAAACAAATTGCACATGTCTATTCATATGTAGCCATGCATGCCCTATTAACGCTTCATGTTCACTCACTCTGTAATTACAACACATAAGACTGGCATGGAAAGCGTGTAAATCAGCAACTTACGTACAAGCAGAGTCATAAATCTGTTATCAAACATGTCTCACCTAAACTTTCACACTAAGCACATCTGTTAAGCTGTATTGATTTTACTAGCACGATCATGCTGAAGGTTAGATGACGCCGCAAAAACTCTTGACTTATTAACATAAAAATGTGCGCTAATATGCTACTATGTCTTATATGTTAAACTTATTGTTCAAACGTTTCTTGCTATAGATGGCGAGGCATAGCAAGAATGCTTGTTACCCTCATGCACTCTAAAAAAATAAAGAATCTAAAATAAAAAAAGCAAATAAATAAGTTTCTTGGTGTCTGGAAAGTCTAAAGGTATGGAGATATAACTCTTATGCCTTTAATATGAATGTAATTGTATTATTTAGACCTGCTAGACTTAGTATTCAATGTGATTTAATAATATGTGACTTAAACCTATATGGTTCTTTCTACATTTTTATTTTATTGCAATCTCTACAGATTCATAGCTGGTTATGTATGAAGTGTGCTGGTCACCAGATGTATTATATATCATTATTACAGAAATAGGTCATGGCAAGGGAGGAATACATTCTAGGTAAATAATAGCATTCTGTGAAAAATAAACAGAAAAAAAAGATAATTTCCTGAACTGGTTTCTGTCTCAGTGAGTAAAGGGACACATATGATACTAAATATACTCTGGATTTTTTTGTTTTTCTAGCCCCTTTACCTGAGTCTATTTATAACACTCATTTGTTTAGTACTTGCCTGTTTTGAGTACAGTGTTTTCATATATTTTGGTGGGGAGAAGAAAGACTACATGAGTTGATACTGTATGCAAAGTATGATTGGAATATGATTTGTGCAATTTTATATTTAGACTTTTAGATATTTTAGTAAAAGAGAAATTGTAAGATATTATGTAACCTATTCATATGAATGGCTGCAGGAATCTGTCCAATAGGGATGAGGAAAGGAAACCGCGTGATAGGCAAAATAACTAGTTAACATGTGATATGGCAGATACACCTACACGGTTATTTACTAAAAAAGGGTATTTGTGGAGAAATGACACCTGCAATCCAGTGCCAATACAGTCTCCTCACAGCAGTCACTTTGCCTCTACCTTTTCCAATACAATGCTTCTCATAATGAAGCACTGGGAACCTACAGCATGCAATTGCCATGCTCCCCCAAACCAAGGGAAGCATTCTGACTTTTTAGGTCATCCTGTGATTACACTGAATGTGAAGACCTTCAAAAATCAGGTATTCAATGAGGATGATTCTCTAGTAGCTGTCAATGTGACAGCCTTGAGAAGCATATTTTAGGCATAATTGTAATCAGCACTGTTTCTCTAAATCAGAAAGGTAAATCAGCAAATTATATATGCACCAAATAATTAAATTAAAGGGACACTATAGTCACCAAAACAACTTTAGCTTCATGAAGCAGTTTTGGTGTATAGATCATGTCCCTGCAGTCTCACAGCTCAATTCACTGCCATTTAGGAGTTAAATATATTTTGTTTCTGTTTAAGTAGCCCTAGTCACACCTCCCCTGGCTGTGATTGACACATCCTGCATGAGAACAAAATTATTTGATTTTCAATCAGATGTAACTTATTATAATTTTGTATATCCTGCTCCGTAAACTGAACTTTAATTACACACGGGAGGCTCCTGCAGGCTCTAGTAAGCAATAATTGAACATAATTTGCAATAAAGGAAGTTTAAACATTAGATCTATGTTTACAGAACGTGTTTAGGAAGGCTTTGTAAGTCACATGTAGGGAGGTGTGCCAAGGGCTGTATAAACAAAGTGATTTAACTACAAAATGACAGAGAACTGCACAGTGAGACTGCATGGGCATGATCTATACACCAAAACCACTTCATTAAGCTAAAGTTGTTATGGTGACTAATAATTAATTTGGTGCATTTAAGGTCCATTCAGGCAATAATAGCCTGTCATAAAATGTTATGAAGCCAATAATATAATATACTGTAAAATGCAAAGTTGTCATTATAATGAAACCCAAGTAAGAGTTAGATTCTATAAGCACCTATAAACTTTCCTATGATGGTTATCAAATACCAATTTTCCCATAAATATTAATAGAGAAATTCCTATTTAACAGAGTTATGCTTCTCTCTAGTAATAAAACCGAGCCCTGTGACTGTGTTTACTATACATGACATCTTACCATTTTAAGTTTTCCTTTTTGATTCATGAGAAGGGACACTGAAAATACAGTAACTGCACTAACAGCGAGGGCAAAGTAAGTGTTGTAGATTGCATTACGTTTTTGTACTCTATCTTGAAGTAACACAGAGTTATAGGAGGGCCAAAACATCCACATAAATACAGCACCTAAAGATTAAAGAAATAAAACAAACTTTACTCATCAAATAAGTGAAATACCAAAAATATACTAACAGTGGGAATTCTATTGTTTAATATTTTGCACAATATTCTATTTAACAGTATAATCTTTAGTCTGGTAAATAACGATATCTAATTTTGTAAAATAACAAGTATAAGAAAATAATTAAGTTAGGAGTTATATTTAGCTTACAATGTGCTTGTAGTTACAGATAAGAATGCTATAAAAGGTCAGCAAACCTGGCACTAAGGTAACCCACTAGGTAAACTATTAACATAGGACATTCAGCTGTATAGCAAAAGAGAGTAGAGAATAGAAAGGCTGCATGTACTAAAATGGCCAATTTCAGGCAGGAGATCTCTTAGTGTCAACCAATTCCCTAACTCAGGAAGGTGCTGCACTCAGCAGAAATCAGTACAACGGACACCAGAATGCTCCCTTCCCTGCCTTCCGAGCTCTAGGTGATAACCAGAACTATCACATATTGTCCACTGACAACGTCCCCCCAGGGGCCAAGGTCAAAGTCCCAAGAGGAGGCTGCTTCTCCAGGTGGTGGACTCGAGGTGTGAATGTGGACATCATCCACTTTGACTTCCAGCCCAGGAAGGGAATGGAGGATTGAAGCACTGGAAACTGGCTTGATATCAGATAATGTGAATTGGAGCACCCACTTGTCTGGTCTCCACAAAAACTATCACAAATTTCGTCATATGCCAAGAGAAAGGATTTTTTCCACCTCTGCTGTATCTCCATCACTGGGGTATAGAATGATTAGCAGCCATCTTGGAATGTTGATGTTAGTGTGTGGTGTCAGTCAGCCAAGTGCCCAAAAATAAAGTGAAGAACAGATATCTGTGCTGGTGGGGAACTGGGATAACACCCGCTGGTCCAAAGATGGGAGCAGGGCTTAGACAAAACAAGACTAATGTCCAGACCAACCCTGTCTGGAAGGTCAGCTGTCACTCCTTTCCAAGGCTTGCATTAGGCCTCAAATTTGAGAATCCAGGACCAAAAAACAATTAAAAGCTTTAGGTATAAGATATCTCTAGGCTCCTTACAGTGTTAATATGGGTCGCTTAAAGGGATGATAAAGCAATTCAATCCTAAATAATTAGGGTGTTGTAAGGAGCTATCACTGGTCCATCTAGCATGGCAGTCTGGCCTTGCCCTATATGCTGCCTTCTTTGAGGGATCAGATGGCTGTATAGGCGATGTCTTGATTATTATGGTTGTTATACATAGTTACCATAGCTGCCAAAAAGGCCTACCAATTCTACACAACAGCATCTGTACTATGTAAGAGTTAGGTGCCAAGACTTGGCGATCAATGTGTGCATAAAAATGCGTTCATTTTTATAAGTGTGTGGCTTTAACTCAAACAGTAACTCACATCCTTTAAGCATCATATGTGGATGTGGTTAAATATGGCCATAAATGGCTACCATGGAAGATGCCAATGACACATGGCAACTAGAACAATGCTGATTACCCAAAGCAACACAGAGATGTGAACAAGGATTGTGCCATGAAAGAGAGGTGAGACCCTGACAAATACTCTGTACATATACATATATGGTTGGGTCATGTTTGGGCTGACTTGGTGCACTGACATGCCACAATTGCCAGCCAAACACGAATATCTGCCTGGCATCAGCATTGAATTACAAATCACAAATGTGTGGTCCATCTAGTTTATCCAATATCTTATACACTGCTCAAAAAAATAAGGGGAACACTTAAACAACGCAATGTAACTCCAAGTCAATAACACTTCTGTGAAATCAAACTGTCCACTTAGGAAGCAACACTGAGTGACAATCAATTTCACATGCTGTTGTGCAAATTGGATAGACAACAGGTGGAAATTATAGGCAATTAGCAAGACACCCCCAATAAAGGAGTGGTTCTGCAGGTGGTGATCACAGACCACTTCTCAGTTCCTATGCTTCCTGGCTGATGTTTTGGTCACTCTAGTGGTAGCATGAGACGGAGTCTACAACCCACACAAGTTACTCAGGTAGTGCAGCTCATCCAGGATGGCACATCAATGCGAGCTGTGGCAAGAAGTTTTGCTGTACATCAGGAGACTTGGAGGAAGCTGTAGGAGGGCAACAACCCAGCAGCAGGACCGCTACTTCCTCCTTTGTGCAAGGAGGAACAGGAGGAGCACTGCCTGAGCCCTGCAAAATGACCTCCAGTAGGCCACAAATGTGCATGTGTCTGCTCAAACGGTCAGAAACAGACTCCATGAGGGTGGTATGAGGGCCCGACGTCCACAGGTGGGGGTTGTGCTTACAGCCCAACACCGTGCAGGACGTTTGGCATTTGCCAGAGAAAACCAAGATTGGCAAATTCGCCACTGGTGCCCTGTGCTCTTCACAGATGAAAGCAGGTTCACACTGAGCACATGTGACAGACATGACAGAGTCTGGAGATGCCGTGGAGAACATTCTGCTGCCTGCAACATCCTCCAGCATGACCTGTTTGGCAGTGGGTCAGTAATGGTGTGGGGTGGCATTTCTTTGGGGGGCCGCACAGCCCTCCATGTGCTCGCCAGAGGTAGCCTGACTGCCATTAGGTACCAAGATGAGATTCTCAGACCCCTTGTGAGACCATATGCTGGTGCAGTTGGCCCTGGGTTCCTCCTAATGAAAGACAATGCTAGACCTCATGTGGCTGGAGTGTGTCAGCAGTTCCTGCAAGACGAAGGCATTGATGCTATGGACTGGCCCACCCGTTCCCTAGACCTGAATCCAATTGAGAACATCTGGGACATCATGTCTCGCTCCATCCACCAACGTCACGTTGCAGCACAGACTGTCCAGGAGTTGACAGATGCTTTAATCCAGGTCTGGGAGGATATCCCTCAGGAGACCTTTCGCCACCTCATAAGGAGTATGCACAGGCGTTGTAGGCCATACACACTACTTAGCCTCATTTTAACTTGTTTTAAGGACATTACATCAAAGTTGGATCAGCCTGTAGTGTGTTTTTCCACTTTAATTTTGAGTGTGACTCCAAATCCAGACCTCCATGGGTTGAAAAATTTAATTTCCATTTTTTTTATTTTTGTGTGATCTTGTTGTCAGCACATTCAACTATGTAAAGAACAAAGTATTTCAGAAGAATATTTAATTCATTCAGATCTAGGATGTGTTATTTTTGTGTTCCCTTTATTTTTTTGAGCATTGTATATTGGCATCTCATTTAATTAAAAATGAGGGTCAGTTGCAGTATTCCAGTTATAAAGAGAGGTCCTAATTTACAATTCTTTTGATGCTGCTCTAGGGGACTCTGGGTAGAAAGAGCGAAAAATGGGCATGATACAACTAGCACTTTGAGCATTGGACTGCAACTCCCATCACTCAGTCAGTATCTGAATGAGCATGATGTAAGTTGTAATTTGCATCTCCACGAGTGCTGCAAGTGACTATGGTCCCCTGCATTGTAAAATATTAATTTCATGTTTTATGTTATCCGTATACAAATTACAAAAAGTAGAACTATTTTACTAACCCATTATTAGAGCCAAAACTATTTGAGCACTTCATGAATTCTATATGGAATGTTTATAAAGACTGTATTTATTTTAAATTCCAGTGCAGTCAAAAGATATCATAATATATCCTCCATAGACATCAGTGTTGTACTCTCACACAAGCGCAAGAGTAAAGTACTGACATTGTCTCCTGGCAGATAAAGCACCAGGAGTCGAAGATGACTGCAACCATGGGGGACAACTCACCTCTGCTGAACCCCCAGACTATCGCAATACAAGCCGTGATGGCCATATTGTGGATTTTTTGAAAAATAATGTGGAAAAACTGCTTTAAAGGAACATTTATTCTATCTTAACAATTGTTTATTGTGACGATTCTCATTCAACATTTTTTTGTTAATTCAGTCTGTAATGTTTCTTGTGACTTACCTAACATGGAAAACAACTCTGAAGTTTTACAAGATTTTTCTTTTTCTTTGTTGACTATATTACTTTGCGAAGGTGAAGAGATTAACCATGAGACTGATAATCCAAAATATGCTCCAAAAATATGAGCATGCATCATGCCAAGGTGTTCAGCAATCTGACAAAAAGGACATAGATGAAAAACAAGTCAACATTTGTTTCTAAATACCTGCGTTATGAAAGAAAAGGATTCATTTTACTTTGTGTGTGATTGGGGTAGACTAAATACTTATTCCCATGGTAGAAAACTAGCATTGAAACCCATATGTTGCAATGTAGATAAGAAAAAGACAGATAAGTATCTTTCCACGTTTGCCCCCAGCTTCAATGCAGAAGCCTTTCATTGGGGCTACAGAGATAGACCAAATCTAGATTTAAAGTGACTACACATTGCAGACACTGGGAAGGCAAAGTCATCCACTGAGTCTCCAGGGAATCTTGTCAATATAAATATAGAAATATAAGTATGCAAATTACCTTACAAACCGATAAATGATATGTTCAATACCCTATCCAACCCTATGTAACTGATGGTGACATTGCTGATGTTTTTGCAATTTGGTCATCTCTTGAGTTAAGAGTAGAGGTGGTTGTGTTTTGGTTAGCTAATTTTAAAGCAAAAGTCCCTATATTCATATTGCACAGAAAGTCTCTGAGATGAGCACTGCGTAAGGCAGTGTTCATGGACCTCATGTCTTCCATCCATAAAGCATACCTGCACTCATACCACCCACCTCTGCAAAAAGCTTAGTTTAACAGTGCTGGTCATCACATTGTGTCCCAAGACAAAGCTTTAGATAGATGGGCTAGTGGTAACAGGCAGATGTGGACAGTAATTATCCACTCTCATTTTGTGATTCAGTTTTCCTCGCACATGTTAAGAAGAGGGATGGGGGATTGACAAAACATACCAGTGGGCAAAGCATGGCATGCAATAGCAATGGAATATATTATGCATGTAATAAGCCCTCTACAAAATTACATCAATACAGCGCTCATACCAGAACAGCAAAATATAAAAGGACATATACTGCAAATATCTAGAATTCATAGACCCGGTAGGGGGCTGCTCAATTGCCTCACAGTGGTGATGGTGTGAGGGCATTTTATGCTATAATGCCACCTGAAGCCATTGCTAGTGGTGTGGCTAGATTTGTTGCTATGCAAAGTTCCTTCAGGTTTCAGTCTCTAATAAGAAATCAGAAATGTCTGCAATGGAAAATAGATTGCCATTCTGACTCATTGCCATTGAGCTGCTGCCCTACTTCTTCAGTGATATTTGTAAAAATGATGTCCTTAGCTGTGTGTGTGCATCATCATTCCTTAAGTAAAAAGCATTGTGTCAAGTCCAGAAAAAGCCATTAGGCTTAAATGCAGAATTAGAATTATCCAATATCCTGAAAAAGTAGAAAAACTGGGCACTTATTTGATAAAATAACTTAGTTTTTACAGATTTTAAATTGAGAAAAACAGATGCTTAACTCAACTTTTGTGTTAGATGTATCGTAATATAGGGTTTATTAGCTTTATCTTACTAAAAATGTTTATTTAACAAGATGACTTAAGATTGTATAGGTTTTTTACTTGAGGGCTGGATAATAATTTTAATTGTTTAAATCTACCCATTATAATCAATAAGCAAAATCAACTATTCGATAATAGGGAAATCGATCTGCACATCTATTTTAAAAAGTTGGGGAGTTTGCTTTATACCCTTATATAAGGCAATTTCTATTTTTACTGCTTTTTTTTTTTTTTAATTCTTTATTTTTGTGTGCAAGGTATTACAAGCTGGCCGTGTTGCCACAATAGCAGTCACGAGCATAATAACATCATACATGGTCAAACATGGCATATAGAGGATCTGCACAATTTTATATTATTATAAAGTTTAAGTATGTGGAGCTCACCGAGTGTGTTGTCAGATCTAGCAATAGGAGCATTAGATAACAAGCATAGTTTGGAGTTATAAGTAGCTTCACTGTAGTTTGTACAACATAGTGTTAAGTGTTTACATGCTATAATCGCGTGAATGTCTGGTCGCTATTGTGTCATTTGGGCTGTACAGTTGTACTCTAGTTTGGTCTGCCACGGGTACCGACGTGTAGTGTGTAGAATTTTGTGTGTCTGGCCTACCAATGCTCCCCTAGACGGGTCTGAGGTCTATATCGTTAGTTGTGGGGGTTGTTGTCAGGGCCTGCGAATAGGAGGATTAACTGTGGCATTGTGTCCGTCAAATGCGGTGTCATGGTATGTACGTTAGGTGTGCTCTGGATACTGGTGGTGCTGCATGGTTGTCAGGTAAGTCAAGGGGTATGTGGGGCTGCGGGTACAGTCTGTGGTTTCTGTGCTTGCAGGGAAGTGCCGGGCACAGAGTCTAGAGTTAGCCAATGCCTAGGCTTGGTGGTGAGCGGAAGGGGCTGCAGGCGGTCTGATGGCACAGTTCTGGTAAGCCCTCCTCAGGGTCCTGGACTGTCCTGGGGACCTGCATTTGTGGACCACGAGTTTGGTTACTCCTGGAGAGGGCCGCGTTCTTCCCTGTGTAGGGGCTGTTGAAGGTCCTGGTGTGGAGTCTCCTTCTGTGGCGTCGGATCCTCCGCACCTGTGGCTGATGTTCCGGGGGTAATCCCCTGGTTGTTTTCCGCCTGAGTGGGCTCATCTTGTAAGGTTTTGTGTTCTGTGTGTTGGGAGTGCCCAGGGGGGACCCCTCATTTCCCGCCCTTTGTCTCTCCGCTTGCGTTTCATTGCCGGAGCTTGTAGGCGCTTGAGGTGGGTAGCTGGCTTTCCCCTGGGGTATGCGGGGTTCGCAAGTCGGTTCTGCCGTTTGGGTGTGCTTGCGCTCTTTGGTGGTTCGCTCTCTGCCTGCCCATGTGGCTGCGGGACATCCGCCATTTTGGAATATGCCATCTGGGTTTTATTCTGCGGCTTAATTTGTACTTGGGCCAGGCAGTTGTCGGTGTTGGTCGCCCGTGGGGACCGGGATAACCCCCGCCGGCCCAAAGAGGGGGGGACAGCGGGACGCCGGCTCAAGCTCGGGTAGGCCCCAGGTGTCGGTCGGGTTACTCCAGTGCCGTATCGGGTCAGAAGCGGTATCATCGTGTGCGCCCTCATCTTGTGAGTAGATTGGGTGTCAGTTTGGGACTGTGGCTACTGATGGCACGGAGTTAGCTCCGAATTTCTGGCCCAGGTGCCAGAGCTCAGACAGGACACGTCTGATCTGTTCAGCGGTCAGGCTCCTCTCCCCCTATTTATACTGATTTGACTACATTCTTTGCTTAATCTATCTCTATCTCAATCATCTATCAGACTCTTTTTATTTTATCTTTTGCGAATATGTAGAATTTTATATGTATCCATTGCTTTGAAGCAGTAAATGTAAACTCTTAATAGAGAATTACAGATTATACATATGTTTTGACTTTTAAGTTAAAATAGATTAATTTCTATCTCTATAAACTCGATGACTGACACATGAAAAGTTGTGCCAGTGAAATAATGAAGTACAACTGAGCCTTTAAGAGGGCACAATTAATAATGGAAGGTTAAGGTATACAGGGAGTGCAGAATTATTAGGCAAATGAGTATTTTGACCACATCATCCTCTTTATGCATGTTGTCTTACTCCAAGCTGTATAGGCTCGAAGCCTACTACCAATTAAGCATATTAGGTGATGTGCATCTCTGTAATGAGAAGGGGTGTGGTCTAATGACATCAACACCCTATATCAGGTGTGCATAATTATTAGGCAACTTCCTTTCCTTTGGCAAAATGGGTCAAAAGAAGGACTTGACAGGCTCAGAAAAGTCAAAAATAGTGAGATATCTTGCAGAGGGATGCAGCACTCTTAAAATTGCAAAGCTTCTGAAGCGTGATCATCGAACAATCAAGCGTTTCATTCAAAATAGTCAACAGGGTCGCAAGAAGCGTGTGGAAAAACCAAGGCGCAAAATAACTGCCCATGAACTGAGAAAAGTCAAGCGTGCAGCTGCTGCCACTTGCCACCAGTTTGGCCATATTTCAGAGCTGCAACATCACTGGAGTGCCCAAAAGCACAAGGTGTGCAATACTCAGAGACATGGCCAAGGTAAGAAAGGCTGAAAGACGACCACCACTGAACAAGACACACAAGCTGAAACGTCAAGACTGGGCCAAGAAATATCTCAAGACTGATTTTTCTAAGGTTTTATGGACTGATGAAATGAGAGTGAGTCTTGATGGGCCAGATGGATGGGCCCGTGGCTGGATTGGTAAAGGGCAGAGAGCTCCAGTCCGACTCAGGCGCCAGCAAGGTGGAGGTGGAGTACTGGTTTGGGCTGGTATCATCAAAGATGAGCTTGTGGGGCCTTTTCGGGTTGAGGATGGAGTCAAGCTCAACTCCCAGTCCTACTGCCAGTTCCTGGAAGACACCTTCTTCAAGCAGTGGTACAGGAAGAAGTCTGCATCCTTCAAGAAAAACATGATTTTCATGCAGGAATTGCTCCATCACACGCGTCCAAGTACTCCACAGCGTGGCTGGCAAGAAAGGGTATAAAAGAAATCTAATGACATGGCCTCATTGAGAACCTGTGGTCCATCATCAAATGTGAGATTTACAAGGAGGGAAAACAGTACACCTCTCTGAACAGTGTCTGGGAGGCTGTGGTTGCTGCTGCATGCAATGTTGATGGTGAACAGATCAAAACACTGACAGAATCCATGGATGGCAGGCTTTTGAGTGTCCTTGCAAAGAAAGGTGGCTATATTGGTCACTGATTTGTTTTTGTTTTGTTTTGTTTTTGAATGTCAGAAATGTATATTTGTGAATGTTGAGATGTTATATTGGTTTCACTGGTAATAATAAATAATTGAAATGGGTATATATTTGTTTTTTGTTAAGTTGCCTAATAATTATGCACAGTAATAGTCACCTGCACACACAGATATCCCCCTAACATAGCTATAACTAAAAACAAACTAAAAACTACTTCCAAAAATATTCAGCTTTGATATTAATGAGTTTTTTGGGTTCATTGAGAACATGGTTGTTGTTCAATAATAAAATTAATCCGCAAAAATACAACTTGCCTAATAATTCTGCACTCCCTGTATATACGGTATCTCACTAAAGAAATGTGGTTACTGTTTCCACTAACCACAGTAAAAGCATTCACAGAAATCACAGCAGTATTCAGAGTTACCACTCCACCAGTATGTTCCGTGCCACCAGTCTCCTCTTTAATGCGGGCATCTGTGTGTGTGGTTCGGGGAGACGCTGCAGCTCCTCACCACTGAATTTCTCGTGAAAAAACAGTTCAACACCGCTTCCTCATCAACGGGTTTCTCTCGTTATCCTTTGGCTTTTTCAAGATAAAGAAGCGGCCTCATTTCAGTGCACTTACAGTATCCCCTCACATTTTTGTAAATATTTTATATCTTTTCATGTGACAACACTGAAGAAATTACACTTTGCTACAATGTAAAGTAGTAAGTGTACAGCCTGTATAACAGTGTACATTTGCTGTCTCCTCAATATAACTCAACACACAGCCATTAATGTCTAAACCGTTGGCAATAAAAGTGAGTACACCCCTAAGTAGAAATGTTCAAATTGGGCCCAATTAGCCATTTTCCCACCCTGGTGTCACGTGACTCATTAGTGTTACAAGGTCTCAGGTGTGAATGGGGAGCAGGTGTGTTAAATTTGGTGTTATCACTCTCACACTCCCTCATACTGGTCCCAGAAAGTTCAACATGGCACCTCATGGCAAAGAACTCTCTGAGGATCTGAAAAAAAGAATTGTTGCTCTACATAAAGATGGCGTGGGCTATAAGATGCTTGCCAAGACCCTGAAACTGAGCTGCAGCACGGTGGACAAGACCATACAGCGGTTTCACAGGACAGGTTCCACCCAGAACAGGCCTCGCCATGGTCGACCAAAGAAGTTGAGTGCACGTTCTCAGTGACATAGCCAAAGGTTGTCTTTGGGAAATAGGCATATGAGTTCTGCCAGCATTGCTGCAGAGGTTGAAGGGATGCGGGATCAGCCTGTCAGTGCTCAGAGCATACACCGCACACTGCATCAAATTGGTCTGCATGGCTGTCGTCCCAGAAGGAAGCCTCTTCTAAAGATGATGCACAAGAAAGCCTGCAAACAGTTTGTTGAAGACAAGCAGACTAAGGACATGGATTACTGGAACCATGTCCTGTGGTCCAATGAGACCAAGATAAACTTATTTGGTTCAGATAGTGTCAAGCGTGTGTGGCGGCAACCAGGTGAGAAGTACAAAGACAAGTGTGGCTTGCCTACAGTCAAGTATGGTGGTGGGAGTCTCATGGTCTGGGCCTGCATGAGTGCTGCCGGCACTGGGGAACTACAGTTAATTGAAGGAACCACGAATGCCAATATGTATTATGATATACTGAAGCAGAGCATGATCCCCTCCCTTCGGAGACTGGGCCGCAGTGCAGTATTCCAACATGATAACGACCCCAAACACACCTCCAAAACGACCACTTCCTTGCTAAAGAAGCTGAAGGTAAAGGTGATGGGCTGGCCAAGCATGTCTCCAAACCTAAACCCTATTGAGCATCTGTGGGGAATCCTCAAACAGAAGGTGGGGGAGCGCAAGGTCTCTAGCATCCACTAGCTCCATGATGTCGTCATGGAGGAGTGAAAGAGGACTCCAGTGGCAACCTGTGAAGCTCTTTTGAACTCAATGCCCATTAGGGTTAAGACAATGCTGGAAAATAATGGTGGCCACAAAAAATATTGACACTTTGGACCCAATTTGGACATTTCCACGTAGGGGTGTACTCACTTTTGTTGCCAACAGTTTAGACATTAATGGCTGTTTGTTGAGTTATTTTGAGGGGACAGCAAATTTACACTGTTATACAGGCTGTACACTTGCTACTTTACATTGTAGCAGAGTGTAATTTCTTCAGTGTTGTCACATGAAAAGATATAATAGTAAATTTACAAAAATGGGAGGGGTGTACTCATTTTTGTGAGATACTGTAAGTGCACTGAGATGCCGCCGCCTCTTTATCTTGAAAAAGCCAGACGATAATGGGCAAAACGCGTTGATGAGGACGTATTGAACTGTTGATTTTTCACGAGAAATTCAGTGGTGAGGAGCTGCAGCGTCTCCCCGAACTACACACACAGATGCCCGCATTAAAGAGGAGACTGGTGGCACGGAACATACCGGTGGAGCGGTAACTCTGCATACTGCTGTGATTTCTGTGAATGCTTTTACTGTAGTTAGTGGAGACAGTAACCACATTTCTATCGTGTAAGAGTTCCTATGGGGGGTAGTGGACTACTATATTTTGTACAGTAATTTTGATTATCTCACAGGAGTATTTACTAAGCGCTGCCACATGTTTTTATGTAAGTCCAGGAACAGGTTACATGCAAGTTTATAACACGTGTTTCACTTCTACATCTTCTTCATAAATCCATGAGTTTTGGCAAACACATAGATTTCCCATACAAATGTACAAGAGGTTCGAGACTGCAGAGATATCCCTATCATTTGTGCTAGAAGAGTATGTTAGTTAACCTAGCGGATCTAAGGGCTTTCAGATGTAAGTGTCTGTTAATGCAGTTTTGTTTGGATTTTTTTTCCATAGTATGTGAAGGACCCAAATGTGGTATTTGCTTGCCTCTGAACAACTGTTCTGAGATATTGTTTATAGGCTTTATGAAAAATATGTAAATAAAAGCTTACACATTAAAAAGTGACAATTCCACACTGGAGTGTCCTTTTAAAGGGATACTCAAAGCATCAAAACAGCTTTTGCTTATGAAACAATTGAAGTGGCACTGTCACCCCCCTTTAACAATTAGTACTTCCTAAAGATGAAATATTTATTAAATACTCAGATTGAATGTGTTGGAATTCCACTGAAATTAAAAACCCAGTCAAGAGTTTTACTGATACAGTGACAGTGCTGCTTTAATTTGCTTTGATTATGTTGTCACACCTTCCCTTGCACAGCCTCCCTACACACTTCCTGTAAAGCGAGATCTATTTTTTAAACTTCCATTATTGCATAGTCTATTAAATTTTAAATGTATTCTATACTGCTCTATTAATAGAGTCTGCAAGAGCCCTGTGAGTGTGATTAAAGTTCAACTAACATAGCAGGAAATAAGAATGTTTAAAGTAAATGCACTGTTCTGTAGGATCTGATTGAAAATGAAATATTTCTTCATGTTGGCTGTGTGAGTTTCAGCCAAGGAAGGTGTGACCAGGGCTGTATAAACAAATTGATTTCAAGGGATACAGTAGGCATCAAAACAACTTTAGCTTAATGAAAGCTTGGGTGTATAGATAATGCCCCTGCAGTCTCACTGCTCAATTCTCTGCCATTTAGAAGTTAATTCACTGTTATTTCTGTTTATGCATCACTAGCCACACCTCTACTGGTCGTGACTCCTGCAGCCTGCATGAAGACAATTATTTTATTTTCAATCAGATGTTAACTTACTTTAGAAGGTTTTTAAAGACAATTAAAAGGGACACTATAGGCACTCAGACCACTTCATCTAATTGAAGTGGTCTGGGTGAAGTGCTCTTGTCCCCTTAACACTGCTGGGTTAAGACAAACTGGAAGAGCCACTAGAGGAATGCCCTGCATTTTCACAAAGTTTAGATCCATGAAACGATGTTGGACGTCCCCACTCTTTGCATGAGGACATCCAGCATCTGCAAAAGTCAACTTTGGACGTCCTCACTCTTTGCATGAAGACGTCCATCTTCTTCATTGATACAATGCTCTTTTATGGGGTAGATCTAATATGCACACAGCGCTTGCTACTCATGTGCATTAGGGTCCTCCATTGGGGTTATGTTTAGGTGATTGATCCAGCTCCAATGGCCCACATCGCTGGAATCAAGTAAGTGTTTAAAGTGTTATATAACCCTTTATTTGTTGTTGGGGGGGGGAGGAAGGGGGTAGAGGGACAACACTATAGAGTTAGGAACAAAGTTTTTTTATTCCTAACATTATAGTGTTCCTTCAACAGAGTAGGACAAGAAATTCTAAATTAAACAGACTATGAAATAAGGGAACCTAGAATATCTAGGTACTTTTTCAGGAAATGTTTAGGAAGGCTGTGCAAATCACATGAAAGGGAGCTGTGACAAGGACTGTATAAATAAAGAGATTTAACGCCTAAATGGCAGCAAACTGAGCAGTGAGAATGCATTGGCATGATCTATACACCAAAACTGCTACATTCACAAAGTTTTTGTTGGCACTTGTGGTTGTTTGGTACATTTATACAAATTGATATTGTTCAGTAGAATGTACTATTTTATAAGAACCATTTAGTGCTCTCTTACCGCGAGGTACTTTGTCATGATGTATCTGTTAGCAGTAAACAGCGGTATTTCTACTGCAGCCATCATTAGCAACTGTACTGGATTCATTTTTCCCAAGACAGCCCCAAATGAGATTAATACTGGCAGAACGCTCATTAGTCCTGTGCACAAACTGGAATTGAGAAACCACTGTTAGTGACAACAAAGAAGATATTTCAATCTATTTTATGCTACAACATTGCTGAATTTATCATCAATTTATTAGTCTCATGAGCGAGAAATAAAACTTCTCCCTGAGTTAATCTATGGAGTTTTTTCATGAAAAATATATGCGATGATAGTTTGATGAATAAGCACCAGAGGGTAACCTGGGATAGTAACTAATGACATATTCCTTCTTGTGAAGAGTCGTAACTGGCAAATAGTGCTATATATAGTCCTGGAGGGAAGCATATATTAGGAAAGGAGTAAAACAGAACTAGGATCTAGTTTTACAAAAGTATTGCTTTAATGGTCTGGTACTAAATGTATTCATAATTTATTTTACAGAACAAGGAGGTGCTAATGCATTTAAAGCAGAATCATCATTGGTATTAATATGTACTAAAATAAAATAAATGAGTAAAATAGAAACATCTCATATAAAACATGCATGAGATTATTCACTAAATAGGAAAAATTGATGAGCTGGAAAATGTTTTAGATTTCACAATTTTGGCCATATATTTGCAGTTACGTGTACAGTTCTACATAATTCACAACTTAACCCCAGCCATTATTTGTTGAATTGTTAGGAATTAACCACAGAATTTAAACTTGTAGGCTAAACCACCCAAGTTGGAGAATGTTTATGATTCACCATTTTATACACTATTTCAGAGGTCAGGAAACTATGGCAGGCTGACAGACTCAAACAGCTGGTGTGATCTGAAGATCTGGAGCTAACCTACCAGGAGTCCCAGAGGGACTTCTTCAGATATCTGATAGTGCCAACGGAACGCTCGGCACTACCAGGGATTGCAGCAGGTGGTGAGGAGCTGTCTTCAATTCACTTACAGCAATGTGTGGAGGAAGTGATCTCAGAGCGCAGACAGCGTGACAGCCACTAGAGGTGGTATTAGACAGCAGTGCAAACACTGTATCTTCTCAGAGAAGGCAGTATTTACACTGCTAGCCTGTAGGGACAGACTCTTTGACACAGAACCACTGCATTAAAGGGATTCTATTGTGTAATGAATACAAAATTGTATTTCTAAGACTATAGTACCCTCTGGCCCCACCCTCCCTTTGCGCCCCATCCCCCTGCCAAGGCATATAAACCCTTTATTTACTCAGCGCTGTAGTTGGGTGAGTAAATAAAGGGTTTATATGCATTGGCGGGTACAGACGCAAAAGGAGGAGGGGACCAGAGAGCACTATATTCTATACGCCCTACCTATAGGAAAGTATTCCAGCATCAGTTAAGGGACCTAGTGTCCAATAAAGTCTCAGAAGCGCCTCTAGTGGCTGTATGGTAAGCAGTAACTAGAGGCTGGCTTAGTACTGCAATGTAAACATGTTTTAAGGGACACTGCATTCAGACCACTTCAATAAGACTAAGTGGTCTGGGTGAATATAGTGTCTCTTTAAGCTGTAGTGGTTTTGGTGCTTAGCGTCCCTTTAATTAATAATTTAAAAGATAAATTCTAAGCACTATTATCATGTAGCCATCTTGTAAGGAGCTTTCCATCTTTTTTACTTAATCTAAAATGTATTACAAGTGCAGCAGTTTGCAAAACAAAATGCTGCAGATATATGTCAATCCACCAATCTCTGACAACACAAGGATGGTACGCTTTCTCCTCCATAAACACGTTGTGTGGCTTGCACATCCTTAGTTACTTTTACATCCTGTCTCCTAGCTTAACATAGCAGTCATGGCTGCACATAGTTTAAAGGGACACTACAGTCAGTCACCAGAACAACTACAGCTTAATGTAGTTGTTCTGGTGAGTGTAATCATTACCTTCAGGCATTTCATGCACACACTGCCTTTTCAGAGAAAAGGCAGTGTTTACATTGCCCCTAGGGACACCTCCAAGCATTGCCGTTCAGCGTCTCAACGCTCTGCATGGGGACGCTGAATTTTCCTCATAGAGATGGATTGATTCAATGCATCTCTATGAGGAGGTGCTGATTGGCCAAAACGGCGTTTGGCCTAGCCCCCTTGCGGATTTCAGCTAATTGGATTGGCTAAAAATCGGCAATTCTGATTATGTCATCAAGGGGGTGGAGCTCGCGCCGGCAGACCTGCGCGGCCCTGGAAATAAGCTGAGTTTTAATTGCTTTTAAGGGGGGTAAAGGGGGCAAGCCACCTAAATGGTGGGTTTAGCACTATAGTGTCAGGAATACATGTTTGTGTTCCTGACCCTATAGTGTTCCTTTAAATCAGGAAAAACATGAACAAGCTCTAAGGTATAAACTATATTTCCCTGTATTTTGCTACTTGGATTTCAGTTCCTCGTAATATCATAATTAGGTCATTAAAACAAGCTTGTCTATATTGGAAAATTGAACACCGAAAAGATATTTTTCACACAACTAAAAAAGAATTTGCAGTAGCTCACTTTTTGTTAGTAAATGATAAGTTATCAAACAATTATATATGTACAAAAAATGAAAACGAAAAGTAACAGACAAGCACCTGGTTAAACTGATAATTCGAACTTCTTGTTGAAATAGAAACGTGTCAAGTATAACAGCCCACTGTAGTCCAAATGCTACAATTAGAAAGTTGAATCCAATTCCGCTAAATCCAAACCTTTTCAAAAATGCAAACATAAAGCCAAATCCAAAGATGATCATAACATTAATATCTTGGAATTCTGCGAATAGGAAAAAATATGGTAATTAAATATCACACATAGGCATTATCACACAGGTAAATCATCAATAAATGTGCACATAGACCATTTTAAGTGATAAAGAATCAGTGATTTTCATAATGCTGATATTATTGTTGAAAAGAAAAAAACTGTCCTGTCTCAGGGTTGAATAAAAGGTAAAATTGCCTAAGAATAATGTATTTAGAGAATGAATAAATATGTATTGATGTGTGAAATCATTATGAAAATATGTATTTTTTCTCTATTCTCTTTTATGGGTAATTTTTCATAATGGGAATTTAACGGCACAGCACTTTTATGGGTTTTTATGCATTACACTAAGAGTTGTGGAGAGCTTACAAAGGAAATTGGAAACTTCAGGCAAATATAGCCAAATTTAAGACAATTCCAAATTGGCTATTTTTTTAATTTTGGCTTGAAATATTAAAAATCTTTTGTAATTTCTCTTTTTTTTTTTGTGTGAATAAACCCTTAATTACTTTTGTTTCGCCATCCCTTCTCCATAAAAACCCCACTTTAAAACATGGCCAAGTAAAACCGTATTAGAATATGTTACATCTAACTGCTTACACAGAACGTAGCATAGAGATTACGAAGCATTCTTTATCAGCAGTGACCATGAGTCTGCATTGAGCTCCTTTAAAACCTTTCCGCCCATGTTTGTAACTGAGAACATTTCCTGATTAAAGATAATTTTATTTGTCTTTAATGTACAGATACATTTTAAGGCAGACATATCTCTGAAAAACAGCATGGGCATGTTAACAATGAAAATAACTTTAGGAGGGGCAGTGTAGATATGTACTCTGGTTAAGTTCCAGAATATTTTTACTTATTATATTATATTTTAACAGTGGGGGGTTAACACAGCAAATAAGACCCAAACAGCAAATGTTTAAAATGGCCCTGCTCAAATGAGTTTACAGGTAAAGAAAAAACACAGTGCAGAAGTTTCATCTTAGAAACTCATTTAAAGTGCCCACAGAGACCTAAACAGGGGACATAGAGGACAATTTTGGCCATGCAGTATGGCATGTCTCTGCACACATAACACAACCTTTGAAGAGACATAGGTTGTGTCAGGTGTGCAGAGACACAGCATTGGTGCAAGAATCCTTTGTTATTATTGTCAAACAATTTTTAGCTTGGCATTCAAAACCAGCTACTGATCAGCTACGGGCATCTGTACAGTAAGGCACTATTTTAGTTAGCATTATCATTATATGCTCAGTTTCTACTTTGATAGGTATGCCTATTTAGTCACAAAGTAACTCCAGCACACCATGGTTTATTGGCGGCATGGATTCAACAAAATGTGTAATTGATCCTTGGGGATTTTATATTTTAGTCCATTTTGTTTGTTCCTGCAGATTTGCAGTTTATATAGTCATGTTTAGTCTTATAACTATCATTCTATTCAACCTCATTTGAAAGGTGTTCCAATGGATTAAGATCTGAGGGCAGTGCAGACTAACGTAAAATTACTGCCATATTCAAGAAACCAGTTTAAGGTGGAGCCTACATTGTAGCATGACTCATTATCCTGTATTAACTACTTAGCTTAAAATGGGAAGACTAAAGGGATGCATCAGTCTAGCAATACCATGACATTCAATAGATATCAAGTGGTCTGCCATGTGCCAAGAAACCATTCTACCATCAGTCTATACCATTGGCACAATGCAAGATGGATCAATGGATTAATGCAGATTATGTAAAAGTATGTCCCTACCATCTACATCAGACCAGATGATATTTTTCACATCTTCAGTCGTTCAGTTCATGCGCCCACTATAGCCTCATTTTTCTGTTCTCTGATGTCTGTAACTGTATTATAACCTGACATGGTGTAATGGTGTAATATTATATCATTATCTTTTAACAACTACTTTTATGATAAATGGACTAAATACTGGTATTATGAGCAGAATGTTATATTCCCAGGAACTGTATTGTAGTGCTTGTTTCTAATACAAATAGGATGGTCCATTTTATTTACTGACTGCAGTAGAATCTCCCACTTCGACTCATTTGTTCTGTTCTTTATTATTTCCCCCAAGTGGATTGTCTTCATAATTTTAATTAACATGTATATGTAATGAAAAATTGATAAAATAGGAACAACAGAAAAATATGAAGCAACTTGTTTTTGTGATTTCCCATGGTTGATGGAAAAAGCATTTTAATGTGAGATGCCCAATAGAAACCTATCACTACTCCTTACACATGGCTGAGAAGATCTATGCATGATGCTGCAGTCTTGCAAAATCATCCATAAACCTTTGTTTTGATCTCAAACAAGCATGGCTCATTCAGTGGCAAAGCTAGAGATTTTTTCACCTGGGGCAGAGACTTAGTTTAGCTCCCTTCATTTTTTCTTTCAAGTGCCGGCAGTTGGTGCACGCAGGGGGTGAATGTGACAGGTTAAGTGAGTGTTACAGTGTGAGGAAAGTGAGTGTGACAGGACATGTGGACGAGTAGGGGAGTGTGATGGGGATATGGGGATTAGTGTGACAGGGTGAGGGGAATGTGGTAGGGAGAGGGGTGATGAGTAAGCAGGGTCGTGAATATTGCAGGGTTAGGGGGATGAGTGTGGCAGAGTCTGGGGTGAGTATGACAGGATATGTGGCAGGGAGATGAGTGCTGAGTGACAGTGGCAGGATGGTGATTGTGATAGGGTGAGGGGTAGTGAGTGTGACAAGGGTAGAGTGACAATATGTGGGAAGGCTCCTCACACTGACTAGTAATGCATTTCTAAAGACATGTATAGCATTTTCCTCCCTCCTGCTTATCTTGTGTGATGGAAAGGGGACAATAATTCATATTATTCCCCTGGTAATCCAATGGGGTTCCTAGTGGCCCAGTGGGCTTCCTGGTGACCAGCTGTAATCCTCCTGGTCTGGTGTTTTGTGATCATGTTAAAGTGCAGGCTGGGAAACCGACAAAGAGCACCAGTACCGCTCCCTTCAAGCCGGATGAGGGGATCATATCAGAGCCGGACATTATGGGCATACAGCTCCTCATCCCCCTCCACCCCCAATTTTGTTACTGGGCTCATTCAGGAGTTCAAGAAGGAAGATGGAGGCACTGAAATAAGTAGGTCCACCTTCTTTTACTACTCCAAGCACCACTACCCAGTGACCATGTTACCTGGAAGTGTATCTTTGCAAAAATATCAGAAACAACCAGTGACAAGCTTGCTTTACATATTATTTTACTTGTTAATCTTTTAGATTACTCTAACAATATATGCTTTTGTTGATAAATAAATAAATAAATAAATATATATATATATATATATATATATATTATTGACACTAAACTATTTTACTAAATCTTGCAGTGGAATGATATAGTTTTCACCCAACAACTCGTATTCTTTGAAGCTTTATGGTGGTACCTAACAGAAATGTCATTAGCCCCTCGGAATATATTGGTATCATTGATGTTTATTTTAAGTTAATGCAACTAACATAATTATTATTATTGTATTATTTATATAGCGCCATCAGACTCCGTAGCGCTGTACAATGGGGGTATATATATATATATATATATATATATATATAATGTACCCCATCGGGCCAATATAGATAGATCTATATCTACACCCCTGAGAAGCAGCAAAAATTTGAGAGGCCTAAAATGAAACCCACAGTGTATTTTGCTACTTAAACTTTGGCATATGGCAATTTCAGGTTATTGTCAGAATTATATTTGAAGATAATAAAAAAAAATTATGTTTACTTAACTTAGTTTTTAAAATAAATGGTTCAAATTCATGTGTATCTGAATCAATTATTTTCATAAAGCTATTGATTACTGTAGTATATGTTTAATTCTAGAAGGCATTATCTGATAAGAAATGTTGTTTTTTAGAGAACTTCTTGAATTAAAGATTGCCATTAGGGGCATATGGTTAAACATACATTACAGCTATAGAATACAGGAATTAGACATTCTTTCTGTATTTTTCTGCCTCCTATAAAATATTCTATCCTTTGATTCCTTCCACTTGTATTATGATCAGGTGGTTCTACCGTTGTTGAAGATCTGCTACTTAGGCTGTTAAAGCATAATGAGACTTGTTTAACCAAAACAGCAAGAGATCCTTAGTCTTAGGCCACCCTTGCAGGTTTCTAGGTTCCATGTCAAGTTGTTTATCCTGCAATGCCTCTCAATTGACCTAATTTCAAGTTCAAAACAACAACATTCCACCAAGGTGTTCCACCAAGTGCAGAAGCTTATTTGAAGACATTAAGGGCTAATATAATTCCTCTTCTATAAGAAGCTATTTGACAGGAATCACAGCAAAGAAATCAGCATACGCAACCTGTATATTAGTATTAATGTTTAAGGAATTCACATTCATTAAACTATCAACACAATTAAGGAAATAAGAAAACGTTAATGTAACCACAAGGCTACCCTAACATAAATTTCATTTAATATCATTTCACCCCAAATATCTTCAAACAAATAAGAAGACAGCTAACTGGTTAATCAAATACATTCTATTTTCTTTAATTGAATAATGAGATACAATGGAGATACAAAACCTTACCTGGATATTGCTTGATATATTTGGTGCCACTTGCATAATGTGTAGAAATTAAAAACAAAAAGATAAAAAGAAAAATTATTTGGAAAAATAGAAACAAAAATGGTAGAGATCCTCTCAAACTCGACTTATAACTTGGAGGCATTTTAAATGTAATCATGCTGAAGTGTTCTCCTGTATGGGCAAGTGAAGACATATAGCAGTAGTGAAGGGTGTTGACTAAGAGTGTGACTGTTCTTATCTATCACAGAGGTATAGACTCAGCGTTTGTAGGCAATTACATTTTGTGTTGTTTATCCCATTGTACAGCGCTACGGAATTTGCTGGCGCTATATAAATGATAAAATAAGAACATTAAAGGGTCACTACAGATAAGGGGTTTTACTTACCCGGGATCCTCCTGACGCCGTGCCCCCTATTTCATCAAAATGACAAAATAGGAGGGTGCGAGCAGGGAGCAATAAAACGCTTCTACTCAAAAGCGTCATTGCTCCCTGGTGCGCATGTGCAGCTTTGCTGCACATGCACAGATACTTAATAGGGCGGCATTCATGTCTCGACTAGGAAGCACCTCTAGTGGCCATCTGAGTGTCCACTAGAGGTATTCCTCAGAAGTAATGTAAATACTGCCTTTTTACGAAATGGCAGTGCTTACATTAAAAAGCCTGCAAAGACATGCTATAGACACCAGAACTACTACGTTTAGCTGTTGTGGTTCTGGTGACTATAGTGTCCCTTGAACATTGAGGGGGGGAAAAGAATCATCACAAATGTAAGAAATAAAATGTTTGTATCATTATTCTAAAAATTATTTAAAAAAAATAAAAAAATATGCACATTCCTAGCTTAATTTTTAGCACGACATATAACACAAACATTTTGTACTTTGCAGATTACTTTTTATATTTTTTTATACATATACAGATTGTGTAATACTGACTTAGGGTGACCACATTTCCTAACTGCCATTCAGTGACACTTTCAGAAGTGCATTCCATACATTTGACTACCCGTCTCTACCCCTTCCATTTATATTAGAACCCCACCTACCCCTTCCATGCACATAAGAACCCAACCTATACTTCCATGCATATTAACCCCCCTACCCCTTCCATGCATATTAGTACCCACCTAACCCCTTCCATGCATATTAGAACCCAGCCTACCCCTTCCATTCATATTAGTACTCCCTTAACCCCTTCCAATTATTTTTCTACCTTCCCCCTCCTCCCATCCATATTAGTAGCCCCCTAAACCCTTCCAATTATTTTTCTACCTACCCTTCTGCCCCTATCTTTATTAGTAGCCCCCCTAACACTTTCCAGTTATTTTTCTACCTACCCCTCTCCCCCATCCATATTAGTAGCCCCCATAACCCCTTCCAATTATTTTTCTACCTACCCCTTTCCCCCATCCATATTAGAAGCCCCCCTAACCACTTACATTCATTTTTCTACCTCCCCCTTCTTTAACCCTTATATTAATTAACACTAAAAATGCTCAGGCAGCTGTTTTTTTTTCTCTTCATAAGTGACCTGCTCTGCTCTCCCCCCTACAAACTGTTGCCCCCTCCCCCCTTTTACCTGACATAGCAGGGGGACCTCTGGACATCCGGCGGGCGCAGTGTCAGACTGAGCGCCGGGTAGTCACGTGACACCCGAGGCTCCTGCGCGGAGGGGGAGGCAGGCCGGTGCAAGGATTTTTGCTGCCCCAGGCAAAAGTAAAGTTTGCCGCCCCCCCACGTGACATCACAATGCCCCACCCATATGATCTGCCATGTTAACTAACGCCAGTGCTGCAGTGCCGCCATGTTTACATAAAAAGGCCTGCAGGGACAGGCTAGAGACACCAGAACCACTACATTAAGCTGCAGTGGTCCTGGGGACTATAGTGTTTCTTTAATGTGAGGTAAATTAGAGATTAGTGCCACAAATAATATACTAGATTGCCTACTTACAACCAGATGAGGATGATGATGAGCTCTAGCTGCAGTCTGGCTCCACTGGTCTGGTGTAGAACAGGATCTCTGGAGGCTGTTTGTAACTGTGGTCACAAAAATTCAATGTTCTGGGAGAACGGGAAGCAGCTCCATTTTTTTGGGGCCCTTTACACAGCTCAAGGTCTGGGTCCCAGGGTCCACCTTCATGTTCCACCAATGAGTTTGTTCACAGGGGCACGCTTATGGAGTGAGACTGGTAGGGGAGATCTCAGGATCTCCCCTGTCTGCTCATGCAGAGCAGGCGCTATCCGAGCACCAACTCTGCTCTCAGCCTCCCTCCCCACCGACTCACAGGCAGGGAGGGAGGCAGGAGAGGACATAGGGAGCTCTTGCCAGCAGCTCCGCCGGGTTGCTCTCGCGAGATCTGAGCGTTGCCACGGTTACCGCGACAACGCTCAGATCTCGCGAGAGTGAACTCTAGCCCCGCAGGCTAGAGTTCACTCTCACCACTAGGACCACCAGGGAAGGCAGAAAAGATGCCCCCTCCCTGGCATAAGGTAGCAAGGGAGAGGGGATATTAAGTAATCTGCCCCCACCTCCACTGGACCACCAGGGAAGGCAGCAGCACGGTCCCCCCTCCCTACATAAGGTAAGAAGGGAGGGGGGATATTTATTAACTAATCTGCCCCCACCTCCACCCCCACAAATCACCCAAAAATACAGCACACACACAGCACACACACACATACAGCACACACACACATACAGCACACACACACACAAACAGCACACACACATACAACACACACACACACATACAGCACACACACACATACAGCACACACACACAAACAAACATCACTCACACACACACACACAAACAGAACACACATCACCCACACACACACACAGCACCCACAAACACAGCACCCACACACACAGCACCCACACTCACACACACAGCACCCATACACACACATACAGCACCCACACACATACAGCACCCACAATCATACAGCACCCTCACAAACTCACACAGCACAAAAACAGCACCCTCACACACAGCACACTAACAGTACCCTCACAAACAGCACCCTCACACAGCACACTAACAGGACCCTAACAAACAGACACACAGCACACTACCAGTACCCTCACACACAAACAGCACCCTCACACACTGTACATTAACAGCACCCTCACAAGCGCACACACACACACAAACACCCTCACCCACATAGCACACTACCAGCACCCTCACACAGCACACACACACACACAGCAGTGTATGTGTGTGTATATGTATGTGTGTGTGTATATATATATATATATATATATATATATATACACACGGCGTGTGCTTGTGCTTTAGGGTGCACACCCTAATGCAATAGGCTGCGCACGCCTATGGGTGGAATGTGTAGGGGATGTCCTGATATGTGTGTAAGGAATGCATTGTGTAAATCTGTGTTTGTATGTGTAAGGGCTGCAAGGTGTTTTTCTGCGTATGTACGGGATGCAGTGTGTGCGTCTGTAAGGGGTGCATTGAGTGTGTGTAAGGGGTGCGTTGAGTGTGTGTAAGGAATGCATTGTGTGTTTCTGTGTGTGTAAGGGATGCATTGTGTGCAAGAGTTGCATTGCTTGTGTGTGTGTGTCTGTGTGTGTAATGCATTGTGTGTTTTTCTGTGTGCAAGGGGTGCATTGTCTTTGTGTGTGTGTGTGTGTGATGGATGTCAATCTCTCCCCCCTCCCTTGTCACTCTCTTCTCCCCCCTCTCCCTCCCTTGTCACTCTCTTCTCCCTCCCTCCCTTGTCACTCTCTTCTCCCCCTTGTCCCTCTCTTCTCCCCCTCCCATGTCACACTCTTCTCCCCCCTCCCTTGTCACTCTCTTCTCCTCCTTGTCACTCTCTTCTCCCCTCCCCCTTCCCACTCTCATTCCCCCCTCCCTCCCTGTCACTCTCACCCCGTCAATTTCTCTCTCCCCTGTCAATTCCCATCCTGTCAATTTCTCTCTCCCCCCTCCTGTCAATTTCTTTCTCTCCCCCCCTCCTCTGTGTCAATTTATTTCCCCCATCAATTTCTTTCTCCCCCCTGTCAATTTCTTTCTCCCCCGTCAATTTATTTCTCCCCCCACCCGTCAATTTCTTTCTCCCCCACCCGTCAATTTCTTTCTCCCCCCATCAATTTCTTCTCCCCCCTCCCTTACCTCTATTGTAGCGTTGCCGAGCTCTGTATGGTCCGCGGGTACAGGGAGCTTTTGTTTCCTGTACCCGGCCGGACTAAAAGGAAGTGCAGTGTTAGTCCGGCCGGGTACAGGAGACAGATGCTCCCTGTACGCGCGGACCGTACAGGGCTCGGCCACGCTGCAGTGAGGGAGTGACAGGAGGGAGCGCTGAGCACTTCCCTCCTGTCAGCCCCTCTCCTCATGCTGCGCCCGGGCGGTGTGCCCTCATTGACGCACCCGCCCGGGCAAAGCTGCAGCCGCCCGAGGCTCTCTACAGAGCACTCGGGCGGCTGCATGAGGGGGGCCGGCGCTCCTGGCAGCGCCCCTTCCCAAGGGGCGCCCTAGGCTGCTGCCTAGTCCACCTAACAGGTAGCGCCGGCCCTGGGGGGAAGTGCTCCCCTTCCCAGTCTGCAGTGCGTGCAGTTCCCTGATGGAGCCGCATGCAGCCTGAGGGCACCCGCGGCCGGCGGAGCTGGGGGGGATTTCTCTATAACCTGTCCCCCCCGCATGATTTGCTGGGGGGGGATGCATCCCCCCTATCTCCCCCCCGGTTCCTACGCCCATGGCTGCAACATTCAACAAGATAACTGCAGATTAACAGGAAAAACAGGGAACTGTAGAACCAGGAACTTGAACGAAAGGAGAAAGTCAACAATCTTGACAGCATATTTCACAAAGAACTGGGAGTGAAATTCTTGTTCAGTAGGAAATATCTAATTATGCTTAAAGAAAATAAGAAAACAAAAGATAACATTTTTTAGTGAACAATAAATGTGGTGGGAATGCAGATTGCCGCTCTGATTGCACTGAAAAGATGATTTTACACACATTTTCTCCTCTTCCATGGCTAAGACCATCAGTTTTGATGATCTCAGTCAATCCAATGCTTTCCCGCAGGAAAGCATTGTGAGACTACTGCGCATGCACTGCAAAACGCTGTGCTGCACCAATCAACATCTCCTCATAGAGATGCTTTGAATCAATGCATCACTATGGGGAATATTCAGCGTCTCCATGCAGAGCGTAGATACGCTGAATGTAAGTGCCGCACAC